AATATGGATTTTTAATATAATATTTATTTGTACACTGTAGCTTTTAAATAAACCATATGTATATATATGCATAAGGTAAGAATAATGGGACGGTATGCCTTTTCATAAAAAATTAATCTACCTAAATCACAGTTTAATTTTCTCTTTACAAATATTTTATAAAAATATGTATTTATAAATAATTCTCATCATTTTAGAATGTTAGATGTTTCATAAATGAAAAAAGTATAAAATATGTATATAGTTACTAAAACAATTAAATCCTGCGTTATTCATTATATTCTAGTACTGTAACTGGTAATTCTTTCGAGCTCAATGCATTTTGCACTACTTTCGTGTTATTTTCGAGACTGCATGTACTATCAGAGTAACGAAGATCAACAATACATTGCGGTAATTCGGTAGAAGATATTTCGTTTTCATCAATATTTCTACTGGATAAATGTAATGAATCCTTTGTTTCGTAATTGGTTAAAATTTCATTTGACGAAATTGTATTATTCAAAAATACAGGAAGTTCTTTTGATAATACTTCTTGATATAATTTCATTTGTTCTGCAGATTGTCCAAACTGATTTAAAAGAACTGGCAATTCACCAGATGGTATTTCTTGTTGCTTGAGTACTTGTTCTTGTTTTCTACATTCTTGTACATTTTCTTCACTACTAAATTTCATCAAATCTGACATTTGTGCATTTAATGTTCCTTCATCATTTTCTAATTGCTTTTTGTTGTGTTTCCCTTTTGAAGAAATCAATTGTGTTGACTGCATATTTCTTTCCAAAGAACCATCATTCATTACATTAGGATTAACTGTTTCATTGTCATCAACTTGTGTAGGTAATTCAAATATCAAAGATTCATTAAAATTAAAATTTTCAAGTTCCTCCTTATCTTCCAATAATTTCTTTATTTCGTTAGAGATATCTACAGGTGCTGCAGGTCCGTATTGTGGCCGTTTTGGAAGTTCCTCTAAAAAAAAAAAAGTAAGAACTTTATTTAAGTTACAGTAATTATATACTTTATAGCAATATTTTTTTATTATACCATTTAGTAGTTCTCCAGCAACATAATCTGCAGCTCTAAATAACTGAGCTTTTGTTAAAAGGCTTAATAAATAACCCAATGTTGGTCTCCTTTTACCAATTGTCCCCCACTCTGATAAAAATAATTCTGCTGCATTTCCTTGCTGTGCAGCTTGCTCAATCATACTATAAAAGTTTAAACAATAATAAATGAGAAACGTAGTTTACTTTATATTAAGTATAATAAAATATTATAATAAAAGTACAATACAATTTTTAATTGATATTTGCTACTGTATACCTAAAATGTTCAACATTAAATTTTGGCAGATTAGAACCATTATCCTTTGGTATAATTGCCATTAACTTTTTCCATGAATCCTGTATACTTAATATTTGTCCCAGTTTATATAATTCCGCAGGCCTTAATTTTCGTATCTCTGTGTCGAAGCAAATTGTACTTTGCGACATTATGCTTATAAATCCTTCAATTTTTATGAAACGTAAATAAAAATGGGCAGTACAGTAGAAATAAACTTATATTAATTCAGCAATAAAACTGGAAAATACGATTCTTTAACCTCAATTCTTTAAATTTTCATACATAATTACGGATATAGGGTCACATGGCTAACGACCACTATAGAGAAAGACAGAAAGGTATATTTCTCTCTCTCTCTCTCTCTGTTGATCTTATTATCCATTAGTATATAAGGATAAACAATAAATAATAATAAAAATATTAGTATATAATAAATATACTATCCATTAGTAGGTTTTTAGGTTTTTACTTTTAGGTTTACATTATTTCTACTACAGTTCACTTAAATTAAAAATAGAAGATGTAATATGTAATTTCAGAAATATACATATAAAATATAAACTTCGGGGAAAATGATATAAGGAAGCACATATTAAATTTAGAATATTTGAAAAATTTGTTATTGAAATATTTTATTTTTATGTTCTGTAAAAAGATTGGTATATAAAATTTATTAAAAAGAATGTCTTTATAAGACATGTGTATACTAATTTGAAGCACAAAAAATACAAGAGCTGCAACACATACAAAATATCACAGTCTTGTTCAAAGTATGCATATTTTGAGGTAGATTATAAACTAAGAAAAATATTGACTGATTCAGTGAAAAAAAGAAACGCTAGTTTTCATTCTCTCTCTCTTTTCTGAACTTGCACATTTCTATTTTTAAGAAATTCACTGAACTATTATTTACACATAGAGGAAAAAGATATTAAGTTTTTCTGCAGTTTTTTCACTTCAGGCACAAATTTTGCATTGTATATTATGAACCTTTCAATGCCCATTACAATTACATTTAATCTTGTTATGTATAATTTGTTAAATGTAATTATATATAAGCATCATTATTTTAATGATTTTAGAATATAAACTCTGTGAATATGAAATAATACCTGAAACATAGGTCATAAGTAATTTCACAATTAACTATACTACAATTAACTAAACATTATATTTACTGACATCAGAAAAAATTGCATATACCATAATTTCATAAGCGATCTGATATATCTTTGGCGTTTTCTTTGCCATTAGCAATTCGAGATCCAAATTGAAAAGCTCTTTTAGGGAAATTGGCTGTATTTCGGAAACCAAGTTTATATGCCACTAAACGTAAAAGTAATTTATCTCCTAATCCAGATGGCATTTTATCTGTTGGATAACACCTATAAATAATTTAATAATATAATTTCTTTTTATTTTTTATTCTTCTTTCTATATTTATTTTACCAATTTACCTTTCCCATGGTTTCAGTTTTTGAACATATTCTACTATGTTTTCATCTAAGTATGGCAGTCTAGATTGTCTTCCATGATCTGATACAATACGGTCATCACGGCCTAAATTTCTTTCAGAGATTCCAGCTAGTTCAATGTTTAATTCTTGTGTTAAAGCATCCCAACCCTTATGCCTTAATATCGTTCTATGTCTCATATATCCACCAAACAATTCATCTGCACCCATGCCTAAGAGAAGTACTCTACATGGGGATTCATATACATTTGTATTCAAAAGAATTGTGCCCTTTGCTCGACTTGCAAACCACACAGCACAACCTAAGCTTTCATCTAAGATAGTGCATAGTGGATATAGTAAATTACAAATTCGCGATGAACGATATTCCTGCAATTCTGTTTGACTGATATTTACCTAAAAGAATTAATATAAATTAGTTACTAAGATATCTTTCATTTTTTACGGGTATTTCAAAGTATATTTTGATTGATATACTTCTACAAAATTCCATTTTCGTTTTGGGCAAATCTTTGTAAGCTCTACAAACGTTTGTTTTCCAGTTTTTCTGTCAGGAACATCATATTGGTCCTCCATACTTTGTTTTTCATTATTTGCACTTGATTTCTTAGATGTATTAATAGACTTTTCAAATGCAACATTGATCAAGTCAATAGGTTCATGTTGTGATACATATTTATCAGCAATTAGTGTTAAAATAGCCGAATCCAATCCTCCAGAAAATAATATACCTATTTTTGAATGATTGCATATAACATCTTGTTTCTCTAAAACTAATTTAATACATGTTTTACAGAATTTGGGCTGTTTCTTTACTCTAACTTCCACAGCTTTATAAAGAAGTTTCAATAATCGATTGACTCTTTCAAGGATATCTTTATCTTCTATCAAATATTCTAGTATTTTACAAGAATTTTCCAAACAAGGACTATTTTCCAAATATTCCAAGTCTTTAATATTAGGATGCATATGTAGACACGTTGATACATCTGATTTTAATATAGCTTTTTCAATATCAATATCTACATCCAAACGTGTTTCTAGTGCTTCAATAATATCAGTAAATCGCAAATCTGGCTCCTTCCATGGGTAGCATGTAAAATTCACTCTAGAATTGTTTAAATTCATAACAAAAATTCCAATTGCAGGAATTTCCATAATTCTATTTACATCTTTACTGGCAACAGATGTCAATGTTAAAATATTTTCAGCAGTATCCACTTTTAAAAGCAAACTGTGTCTGCCAATAACATCTCTACCAAAATACAAAAGATTTGTAGACTTTTGAAAATATATAAAACTATATGGACCTTGGATTTCTTGGAACACTGACAGTACACTTGAACATGACTGTAGAGCATTTAACAGCACAATAGTATCACATATATTATCTTGAGCCTAAAACAAATAACATAATCATTCAATAATATTCTATTTTACTACTAGTTACTAGTACATGAAATAGTTATAATATAGTCAATATATTCGCATAATATATAATATTTACCAAATTTCCAGAAAATATATCTCCATTCCAAAGAAGAATATTACCACTCGAATCTACAGCTGGTTGTTCACAAAAATCTGAACCCTGCATCCATAATACAGAAGCAACAAAGTGACCAGACCAAATTGGAGTTAAATTTTCAAATTTCTCAATTAAACCATCAGGACCACGGGCAATTATTAAATTCTTGCAAGCTTCCCACTGAGAGAGAAAAATATTAAATATTATAAATAATATTATAACTTATCAATTACAATCTTTGTTTATGATTATAATGTATATTTCAATAATAGTACCTCATGTGAAATCTCTATACAATTTGCATGGTTTTGTGAAATGTTACAGAATATTCCACACATGGCTATATTGGCATAAACATAACCCTTTATAGTTATAAACCAGTTGGTTTACAAATAAATGTCTTGTTATGTGTATATCTCAAATCATGCTTTATTTAAACATAATCGTACGTATGTTTATATGATATGATGATAATAATATAAAGGTAATATAAAATATGTAAAAATTATGATTTTAATTACGTTAAAATTACGTTAGCATTTAATTTTAATTAACAAATTTCTTCCGATATTTTTTAATTTCATTTTAAAATATTTAAAATCGTCAAAAACATGCAAAGAAAATGTAGCTGTTAATTTGAACGTATTTCATTGTTCTACATGAGTTCTCGCCATGTTGTCAAAAATGGCAATCTTAAAGAATCGATAATTAATCAAAATTCACGTATTGGACCTTGAATTGTATTGTATAGTGATATTGTGTAGCGTAATATATTTTTTGTACATATTTTATTCAGTCATTATTAACTAGCTTGAGCACAATCTTACAATTACGTAGCTATTTATACGTTTATATCTTATATCGTTTATGACAGTTCTTCGATTTATTTGCAATATGATCAATACGGGGTTTGTATTATAAATTTATATTTTAAATTATAAATTGTATTATACATTATAAATTGTGTTAAATATTTATAATATAAATTAGTATACTATAATATAAATTTATAATTCATATATTATCTATAACATAAACATAAATAAAAACATAAATTATTTATAACAGATTGTGTAAAAATAAAACAAACTGTTATTTTCAATCATTTTAGCGATTACGCAAAAGAAGATAATTGTAAATTATCAATTTATTGTTTTAAAAAGTTCATTAAATTTGAGTGAAAATTATACATATTGTGCTGTTAATTATGTTCTAGTTACGTTTTATTTATACATACATTAATTATAAAAGCTACAAAAATATCATTAAATATATAGCAAATATCATTACTGCAGACATTTATGTAAATTTATTCTTTTAACATAGTGTACCCTAATTAGAGACCTATTTTACTTACTGAATATTGTAATTAATACCTTATTTTGGATATTTTATGTATTTTTATATATTATGTGCATTTTTATATCTGCAAATTTCTCATAAATGCATAAACATCTGTAGTCTAATCATTATCAATACATATTAATAAATATATATTTTCATATGTACAGATATATATAGATGTATGTTTTTAATATCTATTAGTTTTATAGAATATACTTACCATGTATAAATGTTTAATATATGTATATAGAAAACTTGCTGGCCGCACAATCTTTATTACTGGTGCAACAAGAGGGATTGGGAAAACTATTGCCTTGAAAGCTGCAAAAGATGGGGCAAATATCGTCATTGCAGCTAAAACTGCAGAACCACATCCAAAGTTACCAGGCACCATATACACTGCTGCCAAAGAGAGTAATTATAAAAATAATAAAAAATATTAAATAATAATTAATTAATCATTTCAAATTTTGATATATGAATTTTCCTTCATTATAGAAATTCATTTGTTTCAGTTGAGCAAGTGGGTGGTAAAGCATTACCTTGCATCGTAGATGTAAGAGATGAAGCACAAGTAGTGTCTGCAGTAGAAAATGCTATTAACAAATTTGGTGGTATTGACATTGTTATTAATAATGCCAGTGCAATTTCTTTAACAGGCACAGAATTTACAGATATGAAAAAATATGATCTTATGAATAACATCAATGCCAGAGGAACATTTTTAGTGTGAGTATAAAAGATCTTTACGAATTACATATACAAATCAAGAATGATAATTATTATAGCGATATTTATTTTAAGGTCCAAGATATGTTTACCTTATTTAAAAAAAAGCACAAATCCTCATATAGTAAACATCAGTCCACCATTAAGCATGAAACCAATATGGTTCAAAAATCATGTTGCGTATACAATATCTAAATTTGGAATGTCAATGTGTGTTCTTGGCATGGCTGAAGAATTTAAGAACAGTGGCATTGCTGTAAATGCTGTCTGGCCAAAGACTGGTAAATTATTCATTTTTTAATTTCATTATTTTCTTAATTTTTATTTATTTGTATAAATCTAAATTTATTCTTAATCCAGCTATTTATACTGCCGCGGTTGCAATGTTATCTGGTGCTGAATCAAGTAATTACAGTCGTAAACCTGATATAATGGGAGATGCTGTGTATGCTTTGATTTGTAAAGATAGTAAATCTATTACTGGGCAGTTTCTAATTGATGAAGAAATATTAAAAAATGAGGGAATCACGGATTTCACAGATTATGCATGTAATCCAGGTATATTGAGTAGAATATAACATTTCTATAGTGATCTATAATTAATACTTTGTTAAAGGAATCTATTATAAATATTTCTTTCTCTTTTTTTAGAAAATAAAGATAAATTAATGCTAGATTTCTTTGTGGATGAAAATTTGGAGTCTTTGGGTTCAGAAACTCATTCATTATATAAACTAACACAAAAAGATATACAGGATACTAATAAAACAAACGGAAAAATTGCACAAATATTTAGCGTTATTCAAGCAAACTTGAATAGTGATCTTGTTAACAAAACAGGCGCCATATTTCAATTCAATGTCAGAGGTAAATCAGCCTGTGAGATTAAATATTGTCTTTTATTGATTGCTCTAGAAACATGTCAATTAATATAAAGTTAATAGGTAGTGAAGCTGGTACATGGTTTTTGGATCTTAAAACTGGTCAAGGTTCGGCAGGTAGAGGAGAACCTAGTCAATCACCAGATGCTACGTTAACAATGGATTCTGATAACTTTTTTGCAATGTTTTCTGGTAATTAAATATATTTATGTATTAAACGTATTAGAAATTGATTTAGAATGAGGTTTATCAGTAGAAAATTTGTATTTGTTTAGGAAAATTGAAACCAACATCAGCATTTGTAATGGGAAAATTGAGAATTAGTGGAGACCTTCAAAAAGCAATGAAATTGGAAAAATTAATGAATCTATTAAAGTCTAAACTTTAAGAATCAAATGTTTCCTCTTTTTAAGAAACACTGAATCTAGAATATTCTTACATGAAACTAGAATATTCGTATTGTTACTTTTCTTTTAAAGTTTAATGTTAAGTATAAAATGTTTATACAGTTTTTAAAGATTAATGTAAAATATATTTTTATATACTCTCTTGTAATATATTTTGTAACAACAAAGGAATTATACAATTTAAATGCTCAAATAGTTATTCCTATATTTCAAACTATATTTACAATATATCATTGATGTTTGTCATTTTTCATAAAAGCAATCTATAAATATAAGCAATATTTCATTCCTATAGTTTTTACCTTTTCATAAGTTCCAAAGAAGATAAATCCTCCCATAATTATGTACATTACTCTGGGGCCCACACCAGCAAAAAGTCTACAAAGTTTCCAATTTTAAAGTCAAATCAATATAAAAATTGAAAAATTATCCATTATAAATCAAATACCGACTTACCCATGAAAACCTTTATCTCTATATATATCTTTTAATACATATAGTATTTTTAATTTTGAAGTATTTCCATTTCCATGTGAAAGCATTATTCTCGTTTTTATAACATCTAGTGGTGTAGTAGCAGTGGCAGAAATACCACCTACATAATTACATGGAATTAATTATACATCAATTATAAAGTAAAATTATCATAGGATACTAAAGATTTAAACCTGCAATTGCTCCACATATTGCACTTTCTATAGGAAGAATTTCTCTGTCAATATGCAAACTCCAAACTTTCTTAAAGTATTCCCACATTGGAAATTGTATTAAACTAAAAGGCATATCTCTTAATACAGTGCTCCAATAACAACTATATAATAATCTAAGATTAATATCTTGTCTATCTAGCATTGAAACTTGTCTCCTTTGTTTTATTACTTCCACAGGTACTCTTATTAAACAGGCTACCTTCATTCAAATTAAATATAATTAGAGTTTTATTCTTAATGAAAATTCTAATTAATTATTTTTTTCCTAAGAATTACCATTTCTGCTAAAGATGCTGAACCCATGTGAAGGAACGAATGATATTTCTCAGGTACTCTACATTGCGTTATATTTTTAATACCTTCATATGTGACGAAAAATAATGATGCTAAAGTATTGTAAGAGATTAATTTATATGTAGTTGTATATATTTCTAAATTACTTTATATGACTTCATATTATAGCACTTGTTTACCAGTTGGTGCAGATCCAATTATTATAGGAAGAATTCCTTTATAAAGATTAGAAAATCCTCCTGATTTTGCAAATCCTTGCTTAGATTGTAAACGTGTTTTTAATGTGTCTAATGGATGCAATATTACATCGACAGATGTCCCAGCCAATCCTCCTGCCTATTTAAATGAATACTTGAATTATAGAATAAATGAATTATAATGAATAAAGTTTCAGTTTTTTAAATACTATTAGTTATTAAAAAAGTTATTAAATTAGTTATTTCAAATACTATTAGTTAAGTTAAAAAATAATTTAGATCAATTTTTGTCTCCCTTATATAAATAAACATTTTGTTACTTACTATTAAAGACACAGTAAAAGTAAATTTCGTATCCGTTGTTTCTAACGACATTTCATATTATGATAACTTTATTAATTTGAGTTAAACTACACTCATTGAATGAATCGTGGATAGAAGCCACTGTGGCATGAAAGTAAATTATCAAATACGCTAAAACCGCTCAACTTTACATAAGGATAATTTTTGAAAATTATTAAATTACAATAAAAGAAGACAACCATTCTATTTATTTTTGTGCATAACAGCACAAAAATAACCTAGTTTAATCTACATACACATGACTACTATATTTCGTTAAAAATTTATCTAATGTTATCATTGAAGTAAAATTTTCATGTCATTGTTCTTTCATGTCATGATAATATCCATTATCAGTTAGAAATGATGACTTTTCGAAGAAATAATCTATATTCTTATTTTTTAATCCTATAATGGTAGACTGAAAACTTTTACAACCCTAAACCAATTTTCTGTATAGGTAGATAAATAAATAAAATTAACTTTATATAATAGTTGCCTCTATTCTATAAAAAATCTTCGTAATAATATACGCAGGTAATTTAAATAAATTTGATAAAGATATATGAGTTGAATTCTGAACGGTTAAAAGACTACAGTTCAAGTCGGTATACTTTCGCAGGAAAAATATATGGGGTTATTATCAGTATATAATGAAGTCATAGGTACTTAAAAAATTCGAATATTTTATATTTATAAATTTGAATTTTGATAATGAATAAATAAAGAGAAGACAATTTTACTATATAAATGAAAAAAAGCAATTCCTTCATACTTCTTTAATTTTTAGTAACTGTATGTAGAAAAAACCTTTGTTGCTTTTTCATAAATATTTCTTCCATATTTTTTTAATTCTTTATATTTTGTAAAATTTAATTCTGCAATAATAAGGTGAATTCATTGTAAGATTATACGCATTTTATTATACATTTTTAATGACTTAAGGAGAGGGATACAGTTACCATTTTTTATTATGTATAGATAAATTAAAATATTGTTCTAATTCTGTCCAAAATCTAAAGGTAAGTAGAGTTGGTATCCGAAGTTCCACGAGAACCAACTGATCGTACTATATGAGGATAAGGAATACGAAAACCTTCGAACATTGCATTTCCCTTTCTCACATCAAATGATTGACTCGACATATTCGCCCCACACGAAAAATATGAATTTGATGCAGGTCTAAAAAATAAAAGGAATTTTCCAGGAATTATCTTCTTTAGAATTTGAAGTTATAAAATAGTTTGAAATTTTTAATTTTGGACTTGTATCCATATACCTCATTTTTGAACTTCTGTTGTTGCCAGATTTTATTGGTGTAGATACATCACTTAAAGAGTTTAAAGTCCTATTTTGCATCTCGAAAGACATTAATTTCTTTTTCTGTTCAGTATTTTCCATTTTCAGTTTAATATATTTATCTCTCACCATTTTCATGTTTTGAGTTAGGCTATAGTAGTGGGACTTCAATGTTTCGTATTTTTTGTCCTTGAGAATTTGATTAAAAACATATGTTTCTTTCAATTCAACATACAAAAGTTAGGAAAAAGAAAAAAGAAAAAGAAAGTAAGAAACACACGATTTCATGAAAGCGTTGTATCATAATTTTCATTTGATTATTCTGAAAACCACATATTTTGTGTAATGATTCCAATGATTCATTCAATGGAGCAAAGAAATTCTCTACTTTCGATAATGATGGTTGCTGTAACTCGACAGAAAAAATATCAATCTGCTGACATTGAGGACACTGTTTTTCAGCTAAATTATGAAAGAGAAAACAGATTTATTTTTATATACAATATGAGCATATATTTATAGCATGAGTAATATTTATCATTTTATGCTGTTTATTATTGCCTTGTTGTATGCATCCATTACAATATATGTGACCGCATTGAGTCAAGCAAAATGGTTTTTTTCCTCTATGTGGTGTGGCAAAACACTTGTTACATATAAACATATCCATCTCTGTTAAAAAGAACAAACAACGTTTATACTTTACTTTCGAATAAAATCCACAATTTAAATTATCTATGGTGTATTGGTAATTTTATTTTGCGCTGAATCAGTAAAATTAGCACATGTGGCGGGAAATTCAAATATCTCAATAAATTAAAAAGATGAATTACAAAAGAAAATTCGTATTTTAAGATTACATTGTATTTCCTCTATAATTAATATTATTGGATTTTATTTTTAAACAAATTTTACTTTGTAACTCTCATAAAAATACATTTTTTTCAATTCTTGCTTCAAATTTGCTGCGAACTTATCAAATAACCTAATACATACATTCAAATAAATAAGAAATTACTAAAGATTCTCATCTTGTAAATTCTTGTAAAAAATAATTTAATGTAAGTTACAATGTTTGAAATTTATCGAGTCCTGAAAAATCAACATGGAAGACAAAAAGGGTCTCGTTCTGCACATGCGTGACATGCAATAAATGTCTCAAAGACAGAGATATTCTATTCATCTCTATATATCTTGTAGCGAGAACTTTGTTGTCTTTGTTGATTTTCAAAACTCATTTTTCAAACAGTTTTTCCTATCGAGTCTGAAGGTCCAGATCTGTTTGTAAGACCGTAATATTGAGAGAACCTGAATTAATAACTAATAACTAATAACTGCTTATGATAATAATTAATAATTGTTGATACTAAAGATAACCTGTCTCTGCACATGAGTAGTGTATTATTAACTGATATTGTTATGTGTTGATAATGGTGTCTTTGAAAAGGTATTGTAAATCGAATATATATAAGTTGTATACTATTGTAATGTTATTTGTTCATTACTCCATATATTTTATTTAGGATAGATAACTTAAAATTAATACAACTCGTGAAAGAACATGAACTACTATACAATTCTTCTGCTGAGAATTATGGATCTAACGTCGCACGAAATAATGCATGGAAAGAAATTGCGAGGATTATGGGATTGTCAAGTAAGGAATAAATTTAATATTATTTAAGTGTGAAATACACAAAAAGTAGTAAAATTATATTGAATACCAAAAACCAAATATTTATAAACTATCTATATTCTAATAATAGATAGTTATTAGATCCAGTTTGAGTCATGTATATCCAAAGAGAACAACAGGATTAGTTGATTAACCATATATTTGTATACTGTCTTTTTTGGACTACTAAATTGGAACTTTTCAGATGCTACATGATCTTCTCATAATTTTAACAACTTTGACCCTTAGACGACTAATAAATAATAAAAACTGTATATTAAGATAATGGCAAATAACTTACTTAAAGATAAAGAATTGTGTGATAGATTTCAAAGCAGCTGTGTTTACATAGATCTACACCATACTGTCCGTAACAGTATTTTATATCTTTCTTTTTATTATTTTTTATACATACAATATCTTTGTAGATCTGAATTTTTTTCTTCAGAACAAATTTTTGAATGTAAAGACAATGTGTAAACTAAAATATCATATATAAATTGTATGACTTCTTTATCCGTTGTGAACAATGATTCATGATACATATATGTTAAGCATGTTATATAAAACATTTTGAAATTTCATTAACACTACAATGAGGTATGACTATTATGGTTATATCAGTAAAGTTTAAAACCAATCTGAAAATATACACAGAATATTAGATACGCAGATAGTCGTCTAGGGGTTAAACTATGTAAAAAATTTATTACAATTTTATCATATATACCATTATATGTGTACCCTTGGGCAGTTATATAAAACAAAAAATGAACAGAATAAAATAAAGGAAATAAAACAAAAAAAAGTGGGCAAGATGCACTATTTCAAGCATCCTGTACTTATTGCAAAATGTGTGTTAATTATAAACTTTGTTCTATTTTAGCTGCACGATGTAAAAGGAGATGGATTATTATGAGAGATCAGTATCTAAGATTTCTACGGAAATCAACAGTAATCAACAGGAAGCCATCAGTAAGAAAAAAACGGACTCCAAAACCATATCAGTACCACTCTGAAATGGAATTCTTAAAGCCATATTTTAGGCAAGCAACATTTTATGGATGGTTACCGGAATTTTATACTCACAATGTGCGAAGATCGCCTCGTATTTCAGATATTATAATAGAAAATACCAATTTAAACAACACCAATGATGAAAAATTAAGATCTGAATCGATATCTGTAATGACTATACCATCGGATCCTCTTCCAACTCAACAACTTTCAAATTCAAATTCAAAGAACGCATATGAGAAACCTCGTATAATCGGATCTTCATCTCTCGTAATGGAATATGCAAATGATAAACAATGTGAAACTCGTGATGTTCTAACAAAATACTTCGAAACTGTAGCTGAAACAGTTCGAGAATTTCCACCAGCATTACAAGTGAAAGTAAAATCAGAAATATCAAAGATAGTTCATCAAGCTGAAATGGAACATATTCATCAAATTCAACTACAACCATACGGACAATTGATAAACAGTTTTCCAGAACCCGAGCAAATGTCTCTTAATAACGTTATGAATTCGCAATATACAGTCGGACATACTTTAACAAAAATTGAACATCCTGGATGAAGATCGCCGCTAAATGTTTTATTGAAATAGTCTATAATAAATTGAGAAAATTCACAACCTTCATCAACAATTTATGTTTTTTGACAAGTTTGGAATTGTAATTATCTATATATATATATTGTAATTATATACTATATATACATTTTGAAAGCATTTATTTAATAAGTAATAGCATGTTAAATAGAAATTAAAGTTCTGGGATTCTTGTGATGAGGAGAAACATAGGACAAGGTATGAGAATTTAAATTTTAACATTGGACTTAATATATAAGCAAAATCACTCAGGTTCAAATATGTTTAAATATAATGATCAAGATTAAATATAGATTAGGAATTTATTCAGCTTTGATTATACCGCAAGCCCAACGATCTCCCGAATTTCCAGTAGACGCAGAAAGAGGACTGCTGCCTCTTCCAAGATCATCTTCGCCGGAATGAATGACAATTGCACGTCCTATGATATTGTTATTTCCAGTAAAAGAAATAATAGAATCTTTGATATTTACATCAGCAACTCCGCTTTCGTTTGCTAATATGTTACCTAGATCGCCAACATGTCTCACTGGACTATTTTGTCCACCGTGAGTGACCTAAAAGTAGAAATCAAAGATAGATTTCTTTTATAAGCATCATTTATAGCTCGGTCATATTTTATACGTAATTTACTAAGAATTGAATGCAAATTTTAATGTGGCCTTGTTATTAAATAATAACTTACATTCTCAGGATTGAAATGTGGACCGGTAGACATACAACCATCTCGTAAATCTCCCTTTTCGTGTACATGGATACCATGTAATCCTGGTGTAAGTCCATATACCTTCCCGGTAATTTCAATTAAATTATCCTCGCATTGAACCAAAGTTAGTTCCCCTGTTACATTTTTCGTTTTAGCATTATTTGGTACCAAATGGACGTGTGCAGCTTTTAGCTATGAGATATGAATTTCGTAATATTAAATAATTATATTAAGTAATTTATAAGAGTATAAATTAATTTCTTTTTTTAGGAATATTTCTTAATTTCTTTTTAATGAAACCGATATTTTGGCAAACATACCTGTGCAATGAAAGTGAGCAGTATGATTATTCGATTCATGGTGAAATATTCTGAAAATAAAATAAAATAATTATATAATATTGTATACAATTATTATATGGCAAAGGTTCCATAAATTTCTATAATTTTGACCTACTTTGAGAACCGTTAAGTTAGAATTAAATTGATTATCAATTTGTTTATGAATCAATTTTTGATCTATAAATAACGAATTCTATCTGTTCATTTTAAATCTAAATGTTAATTAAAAAGGAAGATCGATTATGTTTTAAAAAATATCAAAAAATAATTTTAGTTTGAAAATATATTCATACCATGAAAAATAAAAACTTATATAATTATATTAATAGATACTAAAAATTACTTGTACTCTTTTTAACATTTTTTTAAAATAAAAATGACAAATCTACAATAACTATGATGATAAAATTATTCTTAAATTATAGTAACGTGCAAAATAAGAAAAATAAGAAATTTTTATCAAGCACGTAAACTTGTGAGATAATAGTCGATTAAAAGATTAAAAATAAATATTACGCCGTAAGCGAACGAACCTTTCAATCTTGAAGAATAAACGCAGAAAGTGAAAGGGACGTACTACATATGTACATTTATGCACGTATAATGACAAACTGGTTGCATGCTGTGCTGAAGGCCTACTTATACTATTCGTACTATTTGATGTATCCCCACTCGCTATTCCTTCAAAATGGTTATGAGCAATTACTTCGAGAATGATCCTGCTCCATTAATTTACCTATTACCGCGACAAAATGATCGTCAAAGACGATGAAAGATTTTAGACCTAGATTTCACTGGCAACAAAGAGAATAATTCTTATATCTTATAGAAGTTAATTCGAAATGGATTAGATTAACATCTAATAATTTACCAATTAATAATTTTAATAAGTTGATGTACTATAACTTATAAATTTCTTTTTGCAATTTTATGTTAACTAGAATAATCAGATAACTTATAATTTGCAAAACTTACTTTGCAGATGTTTTTTGTTTTGTTATATTGAATTTCTCTTTTATAATGCAAAATAAATTATTGATATACGTATATATTGTGACTTGTCACTCGTAAAATTTCACTAATAATATTTTAGTAAATTGACGAAGTTCAGGTTGGGCTCTGGAAAATTCTGCAAATTCCATGTCTTTTTCCTGATGATTGCATTAATGTATAAACATGAGTGTTTATATACATATAAACATGACGCAATATCGTAAAAGATTACTAGAGTTGCCAAGCAAATTTAAAGATTGAGTAACCCCCTTTATATATATACACAAAAATTGAATGGCCATGAAAAATACTCCCAGAACAACTTTCGTTTAATTCGTTATGTAGGTCTTATTTCAATATATTTCAAGGACAAAAATAATTGTAAGACTAACGCTATTAAGAAGAATGCTATTATATTTGTCATCACGGCAATTTCCTTAAATTCTCAAAACATGTTATTATCTTTTAATTGGTTTATAATCCTTATTAATTTAAGAAAACTACTTTTGATCTTTTATTTATGTTGTAAAGATGAAAATTGTTTGCAACCATTTTCTACAACAAAATTGAAAATTATTTACAGCGTATGTGATGGTAGGTGGAGACAACTACGACGCAAATTGCTCTCTTTTGTTTGCTTGAATCCTTCTTCTAACGAATACCGGATATTATATTTGTAAAGCACTGATTTTCAGTTCATCTACGTGAACATGAATCATCTAATCTCAATTCATCTACGCAACAATGTTTCTTGCAGTTGAATAAAGCGCAATTCTTCACCTTTTTTTTCTTCAATTTGTTTTCTTCAACTTGACTTTTTGTTACCTCAACATTACTTTAATCTTTTACATTAATTTTCAATAAACAAAATAAAATTTTATTTTTGTAACACTGTATTGTAAAATTGTATTTTTGTAATTTTATTTTTGTTCCAGGATTCACACATTTTTTAGCGTTCCAAAAAAATTTTGTATAATGCATATATGTACCTTTCAAATTCACATTTATAAAGTATTCTTAAATATTACTACATATTTTTTATACATCTATTTAGTTTATCATCTTGGCTTTCAGTTTTTTTATTTGTATGAGATATTTTACTACTTTTTTAGAATTAGAGCCTATTTTGTAAAATAATTAAAAAATTGTTTCCTCGCAAATTAAAACGCGGACTTTCAAATAACAAAATGTTGTACAACGATAAAACACTTTATAAAGTACGATGCACGATTGACACAAACCTACCGATGTTGTGGCAATACTGACCGATTATTTTTCACCCTCTCGAAATTTCGACATATATTTATTTTGCTAATCATTTGTCACAAGAATATGCAAGGCTCCGTTGCCTTGGTAACATAACAGAAAAATCAATTTATTTTTAATTTCATGAGCCGTCTATACGCGCATATGAAAAAACATTAAAACAAAATATCTCGTGACCCATGTGTTAAGTATATTTTCATGCTAAGTCATAGTTACATAATTAAATTAATGTTTTATCGTCGGTATCATTTATATGATTATACTGAATCTCTTCTTCGATTTGTTCAATTTTTTCAACTCGGTATCCATCGTGACGCGTATCGTTTTCTTCTTTCTTAGAATATTCTCCCAATTAAACGAATGCTGAAACGGATGCTTCTGTAAATCAGCTAACACTTTAGCCTGCGTTTCCATAAAATGGTAAATGATCTCTTCATTCGGGTCAATTCGTTGCATTTCCTTAAAATTCATTAGAGAAAGAATCATAAATGAAAAAAGATCATAATTAAAATACGGTAAGGACATCCTCTAATAATATTAATCGATCGATCATAGTACACAGTAGCTGACGAAACTATTTGGACACTTCTATCAAAACTTTTATATCCATGTTGTATGTAAAATATTTTGAAACATTAGCACTGTAATAAGACATAATTGTCATGATTATACTGATCAAATTTGAAACTTCAGTTCTGTGTAACATATATAATATATTCATAAAAGGTGTCTGTACAAGTGTTCCACTACTTTCATCAGAAAAATTAGACGCGATATAAGACACATAACAATGGCCAATAATAAAGAACAATAGTAATAATAATGAAAATCATGTAAATGCTCGGGAAGCTCTCTTTAAAATATTTAGGTGTATTGTATTCAACATCTTTTTTCTTGTAACGATGTAATAATGATACAATGATTATGCAATAAGACGAAACGAGATGAATAAATTGGACGTTGTGATATAGTGTGTTAAGTTATTATTGACCTTCTGATGATTCTCCATAGGCAAATTAGATCAGTTATATCCAAGTTTAACTTTTTTAGTATTCTAAACTATCAAAAATTTAAAAAAAGATTCTGAAGTATTTAACTCCTCTACTACAGTTAATCGCCTCTAATAAAATTACTCTGTTAATCCGCGTTAATCGTGTACTCTTCGAATCATTTTTGATGAAAAAATTCAGAGATAAAATTTTGTAGTAGTTTGCCTATAGAATCTGCCTATGGAGGGATTATCATAGAATTTTCTGCTATATGTTTCAAACTATAATCCAACTTTCGTCATTCCATTTACCATCATTTCCTCTTCGAGTATAGTGTCCTCCACAGTAACTGGTTTATCGATTCTTCCTGGCACTGGCGCCACGGAAATTCTTTTGGTCTCTGGCTGATGTTTAGGGAAGAAAAGGTTTTTGGTGTGCTCAAAAATACTTTCTTGCATTTTTAATGTCTGCCGTAATTTTTTCTTCTTCCTTTCTGCATCCTGCCGTAATCTTAGAATAGGTTCACGCTGCCTTTCGAGGTCGTCTTTCTTTAAACCTTTCTTCTCCAGAAGTACTTGCTGCATGTGCTTCAACTCCCTTGTTTTCCATCTTTCACGTGATTCTTCAATCATATCCCATGTTCTCTAAAAATTCGTCCCAATTAACGATCAAATAACAGTTTAAATTCTTTTTCTTATTATTATTACATTAAAAAGAAGTCCGGTTCTATAAGCTGATCTTTTTCTTTTAGTAATATTAATTTTTAGTAATATTAGTTTAGTAACATTAGTTTAGTTATATTAGTTTAAAAGAAACATACTAAGCCTTTTTTTAGAGGCTCTACTAAAGGTCCAGCTTCCATTGTTTTAGTGGTGACTGCTTTCTCTTCTTCCTCTTGTTTCTTCCTCTCTGCTTTTCTTTGTTTTTCTTTGATTTCCTTATAAGCCGTTTGTGTCCATCTCTCTAACCATTCTCTACAGCTCTTTACCTGGAATTACCCGTCCGAATGGGTTAATAACCCATTTAAAGCTAATGAGTATGCCATGAGAAAAAAATTGTAATTGTATTCGAAAAGATAAAAAAATTATTCTGAAGAAGTTGAAGAATTAAAATATTACAATCCTGAAAAATTGTATACAAAGATAATAGTGAATTAAAATAAAATAGTACAAGAAGAATAAGTGAAAATAAAGATCTGTGTTGTTTAGACATAGTATAGAAAATGAGCAATTCAGTAGTTTGGCCAATTTATATCGTGACGTTGATAGATTAAATTAAGTTTAAAATATCATTTCATTTTGTACAAATTTACCCTTTTAACTTGGCGTTCGATAAAATTACTCATCCATTCTACACAAGCGGTGTCCTTCTTGAAAAAAACATCGGGAGCGAGAAACATCCTTAAGATACCATTGAAATCGCAAAATCCTACGCATTGTGGAGTCAAATATAATTCGTGTGTGTATATCCCTGTAATTATGCGACCTGACAGACTCTGCATGACGCATGGTTCTTCTGTTTTCACCATGAAATCCCATAATTCGACGGTACCATCTAATCGTGTTAGAATTACTATCGTGGGGCGATAACTACCCCAAGAAATAGCAGTGAGGCTATATAAAAGGATAAATTATTTTTTTGTATATAAAAGTAAAGGAAAAGAACGTGATAAGTTACATTTTCTTTTACAGGGGAACAATTTTAAAAGTCAATACAAGATGACTATTCATGTTGTATACTAATTTCTCACAAATATCTTCGTGTCAAATATCTCATAGCTTCTATATACATTTCTAGATTAGGTTCAATATAATCAAGACACTCGTGTCTCATTATAATGTTAATGAAATGTCGAAATGTTTTATATAATACATACAACATATATATATATACATATAAATGTTCTCTAACTGTACAAATGCTTCCGAGAGCTATTATATTCGAGAGACATTATATTTCGAGAGCATTATAATTATAATGAAATGTTTTAAAAATCCGAAATGTACCTAACTTGTGATTTCTTCCAAAATAACGGTATACCAATATCCTCCTTCCAAATAGCGAATATTTTGCCACCTATGGTTGCAAGCCACGATGTATTTAGTCTAGATCTAACAGAATGTGTTATAGGACCATCGTGTATTCTTTTAAACCAACGCCATTGACATACTTCCGTATTAATATTTAAATCTGTTGTGAAATCGTATCCCTCCCACGTGATGCAACCAAAATCGCCTAGAAAATCAAATGTAGTTAAATTAAAATTAAATTAATGATTTAAAAATATACAAGGCGTTTGATTTATCTTGTATTGCTTAATATTTTACAATTATTTTATATACAAAAAATTGTACCAAGACAAAGAAATTTAAGATATACCTGTGTAGTAAAAATAAATATAATATATAATTAATATACATAAATAAAAAAATACCTACAGCACAATACCTACTTTTTCTTTTTATAAATTGTTTTTTTATACCTTCAACAGTACCGACATGTATCATCGGTTTCATCACATAATCTGGTTTCTTGATAACATTTTCAAAATACCTCCGGATAGTTACATCTTGCGTTGATGAAGCAACGTCAGTGCATTTTTTCATAAATTTCGGTGCATACATGCTCATAGTAGTTATTACTACGTTTCGACTTTCGTTTGGATGTTGGATTGTCAAGACATAATAGGGCTTGAAAATACGGTCCAGTACTTTAAACGGAGATATCGACTTTGCCAATGCTTCTGGTCTTATTACGGTCTCTTTCCTTTTCTCCTTTTTCTCCTTCTTATACATCTGCCATCTTATAAATAATAACAATTTCTGATTAACTCGCTAGTAAAGATTAATTCAATAAGAAACTGTAAACCATATTTTAATTTCCGACTAATTCCTTCTTTTTTATTTAATTTATGAAAGTGCATAATCGTGAACGAATAAACTTTTCTGATCGAAGCTAAAAAAGGTATAAAACAGATGAAAATGATGACTTATTAAAAAACAATATTCATCATATATTTATGTAACAAAATAAAATAATAAGGGATAACATTTCATTTCTGGAGAACCTTCATTTTAATTTAATTAGTTTATATTTAATGGCAAATACTTGCACTTTAAGTAAATCGTATTCTAGTTTCTGAATGTGTAATCTCCTTTTCTCTCTAATAATATTGATCACAAAGTTGAAATAAACATATATTTTTTATAATGATAAGAAAAACTGGAAGATTATTTGTTTATCGGGTAAAAATTGTATATCAACTCGATATTAAAAAATATATAAAAACTCAATATTAACTTCTATAATCTAATTATAACGAATACTCTGTTTTAGATGTTTTCTATATTTTATATATCTTAGTTTTTAAGTATTTTTGAAATGCTCAAAGCGTGCTCCTATTTACATACTCGTACTAGGGTTAAAGTACTCTAAAATATTAAATTAATTATGATATCCCCACAACATGTATAATAAGTAATGAATCGAATTTACTTAAAAAAAAGACCAACTTTTCATCTAACTTCAAGTTCCAGAAAGCGATCGTACCATCCTCGCTTGCAGTTACAAATTGCGACGATAAATCATTGACACTAGTGTCTTCTGGCAACGATGTAATTCTGCCACTGGAATCAAGCTGATCATACGGAGAAATCCATATAATCTGAGTAATAGCCGCTTTCTGGCTCTCTTTTAACGAGGACATTGCAGTAGGTCTGATTACGGACGTTCCAATTACTTCCTGCATCCATATGGTCAAAGTCTTTATCGCGATTCTATGCTTGATTTGAGCAGCTGTATACACAATTACCGCTTCCACTTTTTCGATTTTACCTGGGATGTGCCATAGTACGATCTGTAATAGTTTAAACATGGTATTTTATAAACATAAAACATTAAAATTATTAGTAATTGAGGACGTTAATTGATAAGTACATTTTTATTGATTTTTTTCATTTTAATGTTAAATTATAATTATATTGTACATTAAATATTGTTATGAAATACTCATATTTTTTAATAATAGTCTTCTTAGCACTTTAGATTATTAATACTTAACTGGCCATTTGCGCAACCACCTACGATCAGATTTCCATCTAGTGGACTCACAGCTACGGATGTCACTTCCCTTGGACATTCAAGAACCAATTTTGGTGTCAAACGATCGTTGAACGACCATACGAGAACAAAATTATTGTCGCAAGCCTTAACTACCTGGGACGGAAAATTCGAGATTTACTATCTTAAAAATTTAAGAAATCTAAGAAATTGGAAGAAAGACATCTTTTTTGTAGATTCACCTCCTCGTTAGATTTAGGTCCAATTAGATGTTGACTCTTTGAGTAGCTCGTGTAGGCAGCAAACGCTATACCAGACCATAATGGATGCCAGCAAAGGTCATTGATGACTTTATTAGCCACGTGCTGTTCGTCGTGAAAGCTCAAGTGTTCCTCATAACTTACAGGTATCGGCCACTGTGTGTCTCTTATGTTCCTCACTAAATTGCCATAATCGTTCGTGTAAATGTCCCAAGTAGCATTTAACAACAACTACAATAGTATAAAGACAAGAATAGACGAATTATATTACATATTATATATTATTATTAGATTGAAAAAAAACTAACTTGATCGCACACATAGTCACTGAAACGATGAAGGAAGCTCCTCAAAGATTCTACTTTATCTGGCGTAAATTTCGATATATCCGGAGACTTATATTCATATTTGTACTGAACCCAACAATTTGTAAGTACCGAAAGAGCAGTTTGAGTTTCCACGTCTCGAACATCCGGAGTAACTTGAGTCATATTATTTAACAGTTTACGTGGAATATTTTCAAAGATTTGACGGTAAGGGAGAAGTTCGATGTATCCATCTCTAACATCGTCTACTTTTCTGTCTTCGAATTGGAATGATGCATTGAATATATCTGCTGTTCCTATTACCTAAAATGAACCGATGATGTACGCAATACACTATCATCCAAAAGTGAACATTTACTTATTTTTAATGTAATATAATTGCAAAATTATCAAAAAGAATATTCAGGACGACTTTATCTTAAAAATCGTAAAATATTACATTATATATATATATATATATAATATATATATATAATATATATATATAATATATATATATATAATTATATACCATAGATTCCCTATATGTGTATAGTAAAAGTCCATCTCATTCTCCAAAATTATATTAATAAAAAGTGACATGTTTGTTGCAAAAAACTCTTTTCTTCATTCTAGTATTGCCTACATGATAAAAGTACTTTCATTCATTCCCTTATTTCGCCTTCCACTTTTTTACCTCGATCTCTAACAGCGGTCTAGTATTCTTAACGATGGACGCCTCGATCTCTACACTGCTGTTAAATTCCTGCCATTTCCCTAACGGTTTATAGACGGCGGTCCTCACACGACTTTCATGTTCCTCTCTTTGTTTCTGAATTTGTTCGATCACAGCATCTCGACCATCCTCCGTCAAGCATATGTAGAACTGACCTTCTTCGGTTAACGATGGAACATAACCGATTAATATCTTCGAATTCGGAAACATTCGAATCTCGTTTTTTATTGGCAGGAAATCGCTACTGTCTTCGTGGAGATCTATATTGTCTTCAATGATCTCTTTCCGAACGTATACCCAAGGATACTCGGTGCTAACGTTTTCTCCTATGACACAGCCAACTACCTTTTGCGTTAGAGACGACAAGTTGATCCTTGCTATACCTGGTGCACCCTGAACAAGAACGTACTACTTAATAGGTTGTTTATTTGATCTAGAAAAGACCAGTGATCGAATAAGAACATAATTGAGGAGTTTTTTGGGCGGAAGAACCAATAAAACAATATAAAGAAATAAAATGACATTGATTTGGATTACTAGTGAAACAGAATAGCGAATTTCTTTCGGTGGTTCGGGTACATAATCCACCGAAGCAAGACGTAGAAGATCGCTGGTTGATGGACCGGAAGCAGAATAAGAATCTAAATCGAAAATTGTTCTTCGTCTTTCTTTTAATGTACTTATGTCCAAGCGTACTGTCTCCTTTGCTTCCTTTTCCCAATCTATGGTTTCGCTAGAAATAGCTTCACAGAAAATTCTAATTAATTATATTTATAACGTTTCATAAAATTAATTAGTTATGGTTAATTAAAGAGTTTACTATTGATTGACAAAATGAAGACTAACACTTTACTGCTTCCGTCCAGTCCTTTTCATATTTAGGCATGTATCCATAATCTTCAGCTTCGAAATAATCGTCATCATACATGGCATCTTCTGCTGGCGCAGAATATTCCATTTTCCTTGATTCTTCAACTGTACTTTCATATTCTCCCTGTTCAGTTTCTTCATTTTGAAGAATTTTGTCATCTTGATTAGGTTGCTCATCTTGTTTCTCTTTCTCTTCATTATGAGGCCCATGTTCATCAGCCATTATATTTCAGTTAATTATGCGAAAATAGTAGAAAAATGATATAAATAATATTAAATTATTTAAACACGTTAAACAGAAATTTGTACATACATTTCTGTCACACGTGACGTTGTCGACTATGCTATGACAGGAATCTGACAAATATATATGTATTGTATTCGATTTATAATCGTACCACGAACGAGGTACTGAACGAGATGTGAGATCTTAATATTGACATACGAATACCTCTACAATACTTGTTCATCCTATTACAGAGCATACACTGCTTTTACATGTATCAATTAATCTTTGGCAAACGATGCCAAGCTAAGGATTACGCTACTTGTAGTCCAATTTAGGCCTCAATAAACTCTGTTCTTTCTTTTATTTAAGCTGTAGAAATATAGAATTTTATGTTTTTCGGAATTTCATAGGAAAATTTACTTTCAATTTAAACATTGATTAGGCATGTATAATCACTGATTAGTCAATATATGTATTTGACTTTATCGACTATCGGTAACTTTTTTTTTAAATTTTAAGTTATAAAATGTATATATATACGTATATAAATATAAACATATACATATATACATATAAAAACATATTTCGCAACAAATAAATAATTTGATAACAAATCTAGTATACCTTTAAGATACGGTAGAATAATAATTCCGTTACATCTTACATTGCATTTTAAAAAATGTATGAACATTAAATTCTGCCAATGTGTTTAAAAAGTTCACGTTTTATTCCATCAAATTGGAATTTAAATATTCTCTATATAATTATTAATATCTTATCTTAAATAATGTAATGGTAGTATGTAATATGCTATAAGATAATCCAATATTTTACAATATAATATAATATGATAAGTACTATATAGTATAGTAGCATGTATGTGTGACCATGTATGTGTGTCGCAGTGTACGTATGAGTAATACACTAGTGAAATGACTCCAGTGAGAGCGTGAGAGAGAATCAGTAACAGTTTCAACAACGCGTCTCGCTTAGGAGTAGGTTCTCGTATGTTGCTCTCTGAAAGGGCAATGATACGATGAATACTATCAGGTGTTTTGTGTTCGTTTTCGCAATTGCAAGTAATTCATTCACCTCTGCGTGTAAGTACATATCATTATTAACTGTATGAAATTTTTCCTCCGTAAGAGAAATAATTTTCCTAAAGATGATTCAATGCAGCCAAGCCCATTTTACAACATGGCGTAGTAGAGAATTAATGTATGATAAACTTATTGAAAAACGAGCAAACTTTTGTTTCTAATTCAACCAATCCATGAACCAATATTCAACTTAAGATTTAATATTCTTTAGAACTTGAGAAATGTATTGCATTACGATCATACATTTATCGTTCCTTAATGTATGAATGTACATATATTGTTAGAGAAGCATGATATTTTATACTGATTACATAAAATAAAATTCTTTAATCCTATTATTAAAAATTGATAGGTATTTTGTATTATATAAAATGAACGTATTATATTGAATTTATAATTTTTAAAAAATTACTTTAATGATATTTGATATGTTGATGTATATTATATTATTAATTTAAATGTAATTTTTAATTAGATGATGAATGTAACGATCCACTTTTGGACAGAGCTCACTTAACAGCTACCACATCATTACCTAACAGAGGTCCAAAAAATGCCAGGCTTAATGGTAAAGCTTTTCTAATTTTTTTTGTGATATTATATATTGCATTTTCCCTTAGTTATATTGTTCAATAACATTTCTTATGTTATCTTCTTGTACAAGTTTAGAAACATTTGATAATTTGTAGTTTGTTGCTTGCTATCTATATATCATATTTTGAAAACGTATGTGATGATGTATACCTGTTACTAAGATTGCTTTTCTTTGTCTATATTTATTATTAAGTTTAATAGCAATACAGGTAGTGTATTATCCACATATTATGTATTTGTATATTTAAGGTTAGACATGAAATTTGATTTGTTTGAAAAGACTTAAAACTTAAAGAAATGCAATTCTCATCGACACCCACATACATTAGCCAATTAAAAGAACTCCAGACCTGAATTAGGTAAAATGAACTCACTGACTCATTGCAGAGTTATTCTGTGCATCTGATTTCTTCTTAAGCAACAAGCACTAGTCACACAAATGATCATTATTAATAATTAATTAATAATCCTTTAATAAATACTTTATCAATTAAAAATAAATATTGTTATTTATTATAAAAGTAATCCAATGTCTTCTGTCTATTTGCTCCAGGTGGATGCTAAAGAGTAGCCTGGTTTTTTAAAAGACAAGAGCCTTTAAAAAAAGCAGTGCTTTAATAAAACAGAAGCAAATAACAGTTTGCAGAACTTTAACCTGATTATAAATCAGAGTTAAAATTAATATTAGTAAACATGTTTCAAAGTATTCGGTGGGCATTCAATTGGAAGGAATGGAATCCCAGTGAAAAGGACTTTGCTTATGCTATTTCTTGCATACAGTTAGAAGAGAAACAAAGATTAGGCAGATTTGTGTTTCGTAAAGATATTAGGGCTTCTCTTGCAGGTAGATTAATGATGAGAAAATTTGTTAATGAGTATGAACATATTCCATACTCTGCTATAGTATTTGCAAGAGATGCATATAATAAACCTATTTTAAAAAATGTTTCCTCAAACTTGTCTTTTAATATATCTCATCACGGTAATTATACAGTTTTAGCAGGTGAAACAAGGAATGTAAACTTAGGAATAGACGTAATGAAATTCGAATATACTGGTGGCAAGCAATTGCCTGAATTTTTCCGTATAATGAATAGGAATTTTTCACCTTTAGAATGGGGAGAAATAAATATGTTTTCTAATGACATTGATAAAATTAGTATGTTCTGCAGGCATTGGGCATTAAAAGAAAGTTATGTGAAAGCTATAGGCAAAGGTATTACGATTGATCTTAGATCAATGTCTTTTAAAACTAATTCAGAACTCATGGAAAATTCTGTTACAACTGATACTGTTTTATACATAAATGATGTAAAACAAGATTGGTTGTTTGAGGAAACATTATTGAATTCCCAACACTGTGTTGCTATAGCTTTACAAAAAAATGGAAAAGCACCAAACTCGCAAAAGAAAATATTTGAATATGTAAACAGTGATACACTCTTAGCAAATGCTATTCCATTATTTTCACAAGATCCTAAATATACAGAAGAATATTTCAAAAAAAAGGAACATCCATAACTTTAAATTTTATATATTGTTACATTAGTTTCTTGTGAGTAATGCTTTTATGTATGCGTAATAAAGATGTACAGATATAACAGTTGCATTTAGTTAGTGAATTTAATAAATATAGTTAGAAATATGTGTCCAAATTTTATTTTACCTCCTTATAAAATTCATAGTTTCGTATGTACACTTAACATTAACAATAATTTAAGATATTTGAAAGAATACAGTTTTTACAGAATATTGAAATTAATTATAAATTTCAATTTAAAAACTACAAAAGATGCAATAAAAAATTTTAAATTCATTTATTTTATGTGCATACAATACACAAACCTGTTACTTTTACACATTTCCTCTCTTTTGCTTGGGAAAGGGAGTTTTCCATAAATAACACATAACATATATATTTCCAACTTATACATATGTATTTCTTTTAAATGATATTGCTTTCAACTATTTTAATAGACACCTTTGAAAGGTATAACTTAAGTATTACTTGTATTTTTCAGCTATGAATATATTTAGTTATGTTATAATTATCTTAAATTCATTACATGATAATTATAGTAGTAATTAATTCTCTGATAACCCTACTTTGTTAAATATGACTGCTTCCTTAAGTTCATTTTGAGTTGCATGCATGCGTATATGTTGTGGCGTAGGCGGAAGCGCATGGACGGCTAGCAGTTCAGACTTTGGTCAGTACCTTATAATCGACCTGGGTCAAATAATGAACATCACAGCTGTGGAGACCCAGGGACGAGCAGTACAAAATGAGTATGTTATGGAATATGTTATCAGTTATGGTACAAATGGCCTGGACTACGTTGATTACAAAGAAGAAGATGGTAATGTTAAGGTAAACTGAACCTATACAATTTTTGACTCAGTGTCTGTGCTAATATAGCCATAATCCATGAGCAGATTTGTTAAAAAGGTATATTGCATTTGGTAACTAATATTAACTAATGACTAACAAAACTCATAGCACTGCGATAATGCAAAAGACTGGGTTTTTGAAATTCAGTATGATATTAGTTAAGTATCTTTAGCATGAATGAAGTAACGAATGAATTTCCATAACATTGCATCATAAAAACTTCTATGTAGGTAGATACTGTTTGCATGTTTAACACAACACTGTTAGTATGCTTCTTCATTTGTACAAATGAATACACAACAGCTATATCTTTTTCATGCATTTCATACCGAATTTCTGAATGATGTAAATATTATTATGAAAAATAGAATTTTATGTATTATAATATAAAATATTTATTAAAATAATTATTTATTAAAATATAAACACAAATGATAATCATTATGTTACCATTTTCCAATAACTCATAACACTTTCTTTCTCTTACTTAACTGCTTTGCTTCTACTCTTTTCCTTTTACACATGGACATGGGGCTGGGCTTTGCAGGAGGTTCTACGTGGTCACCAGAGCTTAGCAGTTATGATCAACATCTTACTGTGGAACTGGGGGACAGATATGAGATACGCAGCATAGCTACACGAGGTCGTGCACATACTAATGAATATGTGACAGAGTATATTGTCCAGTACTCTGATGATGGGCAAGCCTGGGCCAGTTATGAAAGCCAGGATGGTGTAGATGAGGTATTAATAGAGATATTGACTATAAAGAAACGTAGAACTTTTCTGTACAGAATCATTTTTATCTTTTGCTCCAAGATATGATATACTTGCTACAATATTGTACATATGTAATATAACATTTACATGTTATACATACCAACGTATTTTTCAGTAAAAGAATTATTTCATTATTTCTAAAATTATATATTTTCAGTGAGAAATACATAGCAGAAGTGCTCTCTTTTTATTGGTGGAGGCACAATGGGAACTATGATTCTGCTTTTATATGTTAATAATTTCTTAAATCTCACATGTTCTAAAAAATTAAAAAATATGATTTCTTTAATTTCTACTAAATGCTCAAGCATATAGCTTGAAGATCTTTTTTCTATTTGTGAGGATTTTTTCTTAACACTAAGATTTTTTCTTAAACACTATACATATATATAATTATTTTAATAATTTACATTTTTTACACGGTACTTTCAACAGAATGTTTAACATTTGCTTTCATGCTTCTGCACTTATAAATAACAATGCTATACTAACATAACTTTAGATAAAAGCATGCCAAATGTCTACCAATCTATGTTTAATTTATTTATGCATTACAATTTAGGCATAAATGTTGTACTTAAATCAAACATAACCAACTAACAGATTATGTAAATGTTAACAAAAATTCCAAAGTTTTTATATAACATTATAAAAGAAACACTTTGTTTTTGAAATGATTATAGTAAATTTAACAAAGATTGCATTTCATTATTAAACAAGGATATACGTCTTTTTTCTTTCCTTATAGATGTTTAAAGGCAACATAGATGGTGATACTATAAAACTTAATAAATTTGAAGTACCAATTATTGCACAATGGATAAGAATAAATCCAACCCGATGGCGGGATAGAATATCGTTAAGAATAGAATTGTATGGATGTGGTTATGGTAAGCAATGATATACTTTTAAGAGGAAGTTGTGAATTTTATTGAGAAAATTAGCGACATTCCATGACTTTTTTCAAGAAAAACATGAAATCATACAAAACCATAACTTCACTACGATATGGAAAATCTACATAAATCAGAAATTGACACATTTTTATAGTTAATAAAGTAATATTTTAAAGAATTATCTCTTTTTCTAAGATAATAATTACTTTTTCATACCAAAAAATTAAAATAATAGTGTGGTTTCTATTTTTGCAGTGAATAATTCTCTCAAAAAAAATGTTTTATGGATGACTAAATTTTAGTCTTCCAAATCAAGAAATTCTCTTAATATGCCAAAGTCTTTACTTAACTAATTTTTTCTTTTTGTAGTGTCTGACATTCTTTCCTTCAATGGTTCATCTCTTTTACGGTATGATTTATTGAGGGAACCAATAGAAACTGACAGACATTTCATACGCTTCCGGTTCAAAACGAACAATGCAGATGGTATTTTAATGTACTCTCGCGGGACACAAGGGGATTACATAGCTTTACAATTAAAAGACAACAGAATGATATTAAATATAGATTTGGGGTCTGATATCATGACTAGTTTGTCTGTTGGTAGCCTTTTGGATGACAATATGTGGCACGATGTTCTAATATCGCGTAATAGGAAGAATATCTCATTCTCTGTAGATAGGGTATTAATTAGGGGAAGGATAAAAGGAGAGTTTCATAGACTGGATTTAAATAGAGCAGTAAGTAGCTAATTAATGTATAATATCTTTTATTACATTTTCAAATCTATAATATTAATTAATTCAAATACCTTCACCAGTTATATATAGGTGGTGTACCTAACAAACAAGATGGATTGGTAGTCAATCAAAATTTTACAGGGTGTATAGAAAACTTTTATCTAAATGCGACTAGCATTATTCACGATTTAAAGGAAACAGGAATTACCGGGGAGAATCTAAGATATTACAAAGTGAATACGCTTTATAGCTGTCCAGAACCACCTATAATCCCTGTAACATTTTTAACTCATGGCTCATATGCCAGACTTAAAGGATACGAGGGAGTATCTTCTTTGAATGCTTCCCTCACTTTTAGGACATACGAAGATAGAGGAATTATTTTATATCATCAATTTACTTCACCTGGTTTCGTAAAGGTTTGTAAATTTATTTTCAGAAGATGAAGATTTTCTGTATCAAATACATATTAATAATGTTTTATATTGTATATATTAGCTATTTTTGGAAGATGGTAGATTGAAAGTTGATATTCAAACGAAAGGAAGTCCTCTAGTAACTTTAGACAATTTCGATGAAAAGTTCAATGACGGAAAATGGCACCAAGTTATATTAACAATTTCAAAGAATAACCTTATCCTAAATGTCGATGGAACGCCTATGAGGACGAGACGTATATTAGATATGATCACAGGACCTGTTTACATGATTGGTGGTATGACAGGGATAGAGAGCAACCGCGGTTTCGTTGGTTGTATGAGAATGATTAGTATCGATGGCAACTATAAGCTACCAACTGACTGGAAGGAAGAGGAATACTGTTGCAAGAACGAAATTGTCTTCGATGCATGTCAAATGATGGATCGTTGCAATCCAAATCCGTGCAAACATTCTGGTGTATGTCGTCAAAATTCTGATGAATTCTTCTGTGATTGTGCCAATACAGGATATACAGGAGCTGTCTGTCACACTTCCTTGAATCCTCTATCATGCGAAGCATATAAAAACATAAACTCAGTCAGTCAACGAGCAGATATCAAAATAGACGTTGATGGAAGCGGTCCTTTGAAACCATTCCCGGTAGTTTGTGAATTCTATACAGACGGACGCGTGAGGACTATCTTGCGACATAACAATGAACGCATTACACCTGTGGATGGATTCCAAGAGCCGGGTAGTTTTGAACAAGATATCATTTACGACGCGGACATGGATCAAATCGAAGCTCTTCTTAATCGATCCACGAATTGTAGACAAAGGATCAGTTATGAATGTAGACTTTCTAAACTGTTCAATTCTCCAGGTAATTATTTATTAATCTATTAACAGAGATTTAAATGTACGATTTTCGTCGAAGATTATATATTTTGTATTTGAATAACGTAATATAATGTAATTTTAGTACCGCAAGGAGATTATTTCAGACCAAACTCGTGGTGGGTCAGTAGAAATAATCAGAAAATGGACTACTGGGGAGGAGCATTACCAGGTTCACGTAAATGCGAATGCGGTATACTTGGAAATTGCGCGGATCCTACAAAATGGTGCAATTGTGATGCTGACTTGGATACTATCTTAGAAGACAGCGGAGACATCACTGAAAAGGAATATCTTCCAGTTAAACAATTACGATTTGGTGATACTGGTACACCGGTGGACGATAAAATGGGTCATTACACGCTTGGACCACTTATTTGTGAGGGAGATGGTAAGTTTAAAACATTTTCCACGCATTATGCATGTAAACCAGGATATTTAATTTATTTTAAATTGTTTGTAAGGTTCTAATTTACCTTGGTTGATTACCAAGGTAAGGTCAGGTAAGATTCATACCATTTAAAGTAATTATTTAAAAGATACATTTGCAAACATTTAAATGTGTATCGTATCTTTGTAAGTACATTAGATACTGTAAAATAATAGTAATTAGCATTTTAATTATTATTGATTCCCATCCACTTGTATTAATGTTCAAACTTTTGTAGTCACCTCTATTTATTTGTACTTGAATAACAAAAGTATTGATAATTATTCAGTATAGAGGAATCAGCCTCAATAATATTTACTTTAATATATAACATAGAAATGGTCATCCCTCTGGGTAATATTTTATTCTACAACAAATTTCAAGATCAATGTTATTGGAGCTGACCTCTCTCCCTCCTTAATCCTGTATAATATATCCTATCCTTAATCCTATATAAAATAAATAAAACATTTCGTTTTATTGTAGATCTGTTCAAGAACGTAGTAACATTCCGCATCGTTGATGCTACCATCAACCTACCAACCTTTGATATCGGTCACAGCGGTGATATTTATTTCGAGTTTAAAACGACCATCGAAAACGCTGTTATAATTCATAGCAAGGGACCCACAGATTATATAAAGATTTCTATAAATAGTGGAAATCAGATTCAGTTCCAGTATTTAGCAGGTAGTGGCCCACTTACGGTCAGTGTACAAACCTCGTACAAATTATCTGATAATCGATGGCATTCCGTGTCGGTTGAAAGAAATCGTAAGGAAGCTAGAATCGTAATCGATGGAGCGTTAAAGAATGAAGTAAGGGAACCTCCGGGGCCAGTACGAGCGCTTCATCTCACATCGGATCTCGTGATTGGCGCCACGACAGATTATAGAGATGGTTACGTTGGGTGTATCAGAGCTCTCCTTTTGAATGGTCAATTGCAAGATCTGAGAAGTTATGCTCGTCAAAATTTATATGGAATTTCTGAAGGTTGTATGGGTAAATGCGAAAGTAATCCGTGCCTTAACAATGGCACGTGCCATGAAAGATACGATGGATATTCTTGTGACTGTCGATGGACTGCATTTAAAGGTCCAATTTGCGCAGATGGTATGTTTCTCTCCTTGATAAAAATTAACATAAATATTAGGTTGTCCGAAAAGTGTCTTTCTTTTACAGACAAGTCTTTTACAACAACGCATTTTTATACAAATATGAAACCTAATCTGTTGAACGTTGTAATCTTTATCTTGATAGAACAAAATGGATCATACGTAATTCGATAAAGTAATATAAAACGGAAAATTTTATGCATCTTTTATTTCCTTATAAAACGAAATAAACTTTTCGGACGACCTAATAAATTTTGGGAAATGATAATTCTTTATATCTCGTTCTGTATGATTCTGAAACTATTAAAAATTGGGTATTGAATATTGTGTATTACATTGAGTTTTAACGTTAAAATTTGTTTTATTATAGAAATTGGAGTAAATATGCGTCCAAGTTCAATGATAAAGTACGACTTCATGGGTAGCTGGCGTTCCACTATCTCCGAAAAAATCAGAGTTGGTTTTACAACAACGAATCCTAAAGGATTTTTACTCGGCCTGTTTTCGAACATCTCTGGAGAATATATGACAATTATGGTCTCAAATAGCGGGCATTTGCGTGTCGTTTTCGATTTCGGTTTTGAACGACAAGAAGTTATTTTCCCTAATAAGCATTTTGGTCTAGGACAGTATCATGATGTTAGGGTAGGCAGGAAGGATTCAGGAGCGACACTCATTTTGCAAGTCGATAATTACGAGCCGAAAGAATTCCCCTTTAACATTAAAACCTCAGCCGATGCACAATTTAATAATATACAGTATATGTATATTGGAAGAAACGAATCCATGACAGAAGGTTTTGCTGGTTGCATATCTAGAGTAGAATTTGACGATATTTACCCTTTGAAGTTACTATTCCAGGAAGATGGACCTGGAAACGTTCGTTCTTTGGGTACTCCTCTCACGGAAGATTTTTGTGGCGTAGAACCAATTACGCATCCGCCTGATATCGTAGAAACTCGTCCACCACCGCAAGTAGATGAAGAAAAAGTTCGAGCTGCTTACAACGAAACCGACACCGCGATTTTAGGAAGCGTGTTGACAGTCATTATTATAGGATTAGTTATAATGACAGTACTTATAGGAAGATACATGTCAAGACACAAAGGCGAATATTTGACCCAGGAGGACAAGGGTGCTGAAATAGCACTGGATCCAGACTCAGCGGTAGTTCATTCTGCCACTGGTCATCAAGTTCAAAAAAAGAAAGAATGGTTTATTTAAGTATGAAGTTAGATATTTCGCTATGTCGATGCTAGAATATATAGATGAAATTATGCTTATAAGTGCACTTTGAAGTGTCATAACAAAAGATTTTATAGGGAGGATAAAAAGAAACATAATTCTACTGTTTCGATTTAATGACAACTGTATTAAACTGGAGACTGGTAAACTTAACTAATTAGCACGAACAAATTTATCGAATCCCTTATAATAATGAAAATATTAAAAAATAACTGGACATTAAACATTTTTATTTTATTGATTTTCGTCATAGTAGAATTATCACAGAAGATAATATAAAAGAAATAATATACAATTATGAGTTCAAATATTACGTTAAAAAGATGTAAGCATGTAGAAATATCTTATTTGTATTAAGTGTACCTTTGATATTTTTTCTGAATACTTATTAATGTCAGTCATCATATAGCTAGGAATAAGAGGTAGTAAAAAATCTTTCGAATTGCAGACTGTTATTACTTTACATTATGAGGTGCATAAATATTTATTATGTACATTAAAATTTAGATTGACCATCGCGACAGAGTACTATGTTAGGTTAAATACTTGTTTAACATTTTATTATTTTAAAAATGAGAACAGTTACTTGTTTCTTTTTTACTCTGTTATATCAGAGTTTTTACCTGTTAGCGTTAATCGTAAGAACATCAACAAATCAACTGATTTTGAAACTCATTAAAAAATTTATTAGCTATGCTATTTTTCTATCAATGACAACAAAGTTATTTGTACATATATAAAATATTTCTAAATCTTCAGAAATATTTCATTACATGTAAAATACTTTTTTCTCTCTTTATTTTCGCGAAACGTGTGTTCTTAGTATTATTTGTAATGTTTACCGTCCAAAGTGCATTTTACTTTTTCTTTATATTTATTTTGTTTACATTTGTTTATTATGTATTTACAGATATTTTATTTCTTTCGTGAAGTGTAACAATCCGAATTCTATACTATAACTTAACATTAATCTTATCAAAACTAATATTCGTATACTATACGTGTAACAGTGAGAGTGTGCTGTATATATATCATTTTTATACAAAGGAAATGTTTTACTGTAATAATATGCCAGTGTATATTTTATATACTGTATTCAGCAGAACGCATGTGCTGCTAAATAAAGACAAAAAGTCGTGATTATGATTTTGTAACAATAAGTCCTTGATAAAAACTAGTTAACTAAAGCACGTAATTTGTAACAACAAAGTTTTTGTAGAGTTGCCATAAACTTAATTTTACACTTTCACATATAAACTACGAAAAAGTTAAGTGCGATAAAAGTATCCAACGTTCCTGAAGAACGTAAAATTTTATTTTCTCATAAAATGTAAGATGCTTTAATTTTGTTAGTGAAACTCTTAAAATATAACAATTAACGAAAATACATTGTACATAGTAATAGAATTACATTTTTTAACTGGAATTATAGGAACTATATATGTAAGTGAGAAGAAAGCGAACGAAATATGCGATGGTTATAGAAAACTAATAGTTTAACTATCAGTTTAAAATAATATAATTACAGAAACGAAAAACAATAAAAACACTTCAACGAACGAATCTCATTCATTAATATTTACCACAGAAATAACATGTTTACGATTTTTCAAATTTGTAATTCAAACAAAATTTTGATGCTAGAAATAGACTTCTTTATGTTAAATCAATATTTAATAACAATAATAGTATTATTATAAATTTCATATTATTTATTATAGAAAATTCTTGTTCATAGTAGAAGTCTAATCTATTAGAAATTTGCAAATATTTAAGCTTTTCATTTATTTAGTATAAATTATTATCTATGAATTCTTTTGATTACATAGTATATATTGTACACGTATCCGAACCTCCGTCAACCGATCCTTTCCTAGTAATCGTGTCAATACATAGATAAAATATAAAAATACTTTATATCATAAAATATATAAAACTTACTAATAGAAAAAACAAATTCTTCGGATCTAAACACGAATCTACTTTTTTTTCAAGACATATGTATATTAAAAATTAACCGAAGAATATATTTCAAGTCATACATATCGTCATCATTTTAAATAAATAATTAATTAGATATGATTTGAGTTATTCATGTTACGAACATAGATCTAAGCACGATTGAGGGAGGAGTAAAGTACAATTATATAGTATAAGTATATAATATATTATTACGCATATATTTGAATATGTATCCAAAGCTTTGTTCTAAAATAAAAAAGTTTTTTCATATCAACATACGTACATATATGAACATAATAGTACTTCATTATTAATTACTCAAATTAATATAATGCTACCACTTATACTAGCCTCGCTCATTATTTGTTGTTTCATCGTCATCAACTAGATTTTCGGTATCTATTAAGAACGATAAATTTTAAATAAGATTATAATAACAGAAATTACAGCACAAAAATTCAGTGCTTATTACCTGAATCATTATCACTGACCACTTGAGGTGAAAGTTTACAACCTTTGGCTAAGTAATGTTTTAATTTACCAACACTGGCCAAAATTAATCCTAAGAATGGGGGTGAAGGTTTTAACGGTCTAGACAAATATTCTGGGTGGAATTGCGTTGCAACATAGTAACTATGCCCTTCCAATTCTGCTATTTCCATACGTAAATTTTCCTCATCATGACCTAACATAAAAGAAAGGCAATATATATTAGTTTAATGAACATTAAAATTTGTTAAAGTTACAAATTAGAAAGTGAATGTTAATTTACCTACGAATTTCAATCCAGCTGCTTCTAAATCATCAATATACTTGGGATTAATTTCATATCGATGCCTATGTCTTTCTTCTATAAAATTCTTATTGCCATACAGCTGCTCTATATATGAAATAATTCAAAACATTTATGAAAATGAAAATACATTATATTACATAACAAATTTTTAAGCAAGAAATTGCTAACTTATGAGAGAATTATTTTCTGTAAATCGAGTGCATCTTTTTCCAAGCCTCATGGTTCCACCCATTTGTTCTGGATTATATTCAGGCATGTCTATAACGAGGGGATGATCAGTTTCTGGATCAATTTCTATACTATTTGCATCCTCTATGCCTAAAACATTTCTTGCGAACTCAACTACCGCCACTTGTAAGCCCAAACAAATACCAAGAAAAGGTTTGTCATTTGTTCTACACCATCCACATGCTTCCATCTTTCCCAGCATACCCCTTTTACCAAATCCACCTGGTACTATAACACCACTAAATATAACCCAATTAAGATAAACAAATTTGAAAGAAACAAAATGTTATGAAATAATGATAGAAAGAAAAATAACTTACTTGCTTCTACAAAGTTGATGCCAGGCTTCATGGTATAGTACAGGATCTATTGCTTTTGTATTGTGTTCTAAATTATCAGCCTCTATATACTAAAATTATAGTTATACAGATATGACAGTAATCATTATATATAACAATATATTTGATAAGTCAAATTAATATTTAATTTCAATCAGAATAAATGAAAAATAAATAAAATTTAATATTTAATAAAAAGCGGATACTTTACTGTTAACTTGAGTTTGTAGCCAACTTGAATACAAGCATGTTGCAATGCTTTTGTGACTGATGCATAGGAGTCTTCTAATTTTGTATATTTTCCAACTAACGCGATGTTTACTTCTTTTCGTAAATGATCAGTGCGATCTGCCAAATCTCTCCATTTTCGCATAAAATATCGGGGACGTGGCGTTCCAATATTTAATTGTAACCTGTCATTTAGGAATTCAATAACACCTTGAGATTCCATCAACAAAGGAACACGATATATAGATGACAAATCATGTATTGTTATCACCTAATCATAATACATCAAAATTTCTATTAGTCTTTTAGCCAATTTTCTTAAAGTTTTATTGAAATGATTAAGGAATATCACCTGTTCAGGAGCAACATGACAAAAATTCGAAATTTTTTCTTTCACACAATCGCCTATTGGTAGTTCAGATCTACAAACTATGAGATCAGGAGACAAACCCAAACCACGTAATTCTCTCACACTGGATTGAGTCGGTTTTGTTTTTGGTTCTCCTGTAGATTTTGGCTAAAAAAAAACAAGAAATATTCAAGAAACTTATAAAAAAGAAAAAGTAATATTTGTATCCTTTATATATACATTTTTGCTTTCTAAACAGGCATGAACGTTATTTATATGTGGTCGTAAATTTTACAAATAATAGTTACATAATTCTAAGAATTAAGAACAAACTACCAAACATATGCTTGGTACTTGTCATGAGTTCAAAGTCAAGGTCTAGAATGAAAAAAGAGAATTACTTAAATAAAAAGAGTTTCATACTTGTGGCACTAATGATACATGTGCACAACAGAAGTTTTCTTTTTTTACTCTAAATTGAAATTGCCTGAAAGCTTCTACAAAAGGCATTCCTTCAATATCTCCTATGGTTCCACCTAATTCAATAATGCAAACCTGAAATGAATAAAATATAGATTAATTTTGTATCTTTTTCTTTTTACTTATTTGTAAATGTTATTGTACAACATGAAATTACATCTGGTTTATCACCATCCTTTGTTACAGATTGTTTTGCAACTCTTTCAACCCATTCTTGAATGGCATCTGTTATGTGTGGTATTACTACAGAATAATAATAAACACTTATTATCAATATGAATTATACATTAACTTTATGTGTTTACAAAAAATGTCTTGCCTTGAACTGTTTTTCCCAAGTAATCGCCACGCCTCTCCTTTGATATTACATGTTGATAAATTTTACCTGTTGTGATATTATTGTCTCTGTGTAAAGTAATATCTAGGAAACGTTCATAGTTTCCTAAATCAAGATCTACCTCTCCACCGTCATCCAACACATATACTTCTCCTGAAATGTAAACAATTTTCATGTAATCAAACTAACAAACAAATTAAAAATATATTTTTAAAAAGATTAGAGAATATATCAAACTTGAAAACAAATTTCATAATAGTTTAATTGTACACTGAGGAGAAAATGATTAATTAACGTCATATTTATTTCAGTACATTTTAATTCAATAAAATCTTTACATATACAAATAACGAAATTAATAAAACTTTTCTATTAAAATAGACATAGTCACAAGTTTATACAATAACAATTTAAGCTTTTACAATTTTTGCAATCGCTATAACTTATTAATCTGAAGCAGCATTCGTACATAATAAGATAAATTTCATTTTGTGTTAGAATTAAAAATGCTGTTAGAAATATAGCACGTGATTATAAAATTGGCGGTAGCAACATGTAAAATGGCTTCTCACACCACATGGCTGTATAAAACTTTAGATTTTCGCAGAAGTGTTTTCGAACATGTCATTCTAATCAGATAAAATGTTTAAAAAAATAAACGTTTAATAACGTACCGTGTTCGTATGGAGAAAAGGTGCCGGCATCGATATTTATGTAAGGATCTATCTTGATAGATGTCACATGAATATTGCAATGTTTAAGTATAGTACCAAATGAACTTGCAATAACACCTTTGCCGACTCCGCTGATCACACCACCGGTTACTAGAATATATTTCATATTTTACAAGCGATCTATTCTACAGAAAATGTTTGCATCAACTTCTCCATACACGTCTGTTATTCAAAGTTGTTCGATTTCATTGAGTAATATCTGGATCCAATGGGGACGCGCAGCCTACTCTTACTGTTTGTCCGCGATAAGAAGACTAGGCAAAGGAATGCTAATCTGATTGGTTATTTCTGATAGACCTAATAAAATTGTAAAGATAAATACATATATTGGCCAAAATTTTTTTATATATATAAAGAGCCGTCCCACATGTTGTACTATTAGTACTATTCACGATCACGATTTATGTGCCAATTATATTATTTGAAAAGATAGGAGAGTTATGGCGGGATTTTTAAACGTACGATATAAAATATTCTGAAACTATTATATAGAAACTGAAGCAATGTACTTTTCTAATGTTTATAATTTCCTAGCTTTATAAATCCTTGTACATCGTTTAATCCTTTATAGTAGTTTTAGTAATAAGAAAACTTTAAAGTAATTGAACTGTATAAATTGTTTCACCTTTTCTAATAATTGAAATTGAAACTTCAATTTAAAAAAAACATTAATTAAAGTACTAAAAAATTAATTTAAAAATTTGGTAACTCGTGTCAAAATATTATTAAGTTAATATATAATAAAACGATTGATGTCGTTTTTTTAAAAAAAAGTAATTTCTTCATCCTACAAGAAAAAGTATATTCATAGGACCATCTAGTAATATTTACTTAATGGAGGAATCGATTTCCGTATAAAAGGCACAGCACCATTTCTTGTTGTCTTTTCTCGCTGCAACTAAAAACATGGCTGAGGTATGTGTCACAAATGTGTCGAAAATATCCAATAAAATCTTATTCATCTATTACAGAAAAATATAAGTAAATGCTCTAGAATAAGATATTGATTTCTCTTTTAATAGAAAGAAATAATATTGATGTACAAGAATGAATATTTTTTATTTGTAACATAACCTCTTACCAATTATGTGTTGTATGATTTTCAGGCAGAAGAAACCCAAAAGAAGAAGAGGACTTTCCGAAAGTTCACTTTTCGAGGAGTTGATCTCGATCAACTCCTTGATATGCCAAAGTGAGTATCTTTTTATGTCTTAGAAAAGCCAAACCATTTTTAGGTTATAGTGATCAATTAAAGGAATGATGTACATTCGGATAAATTTTCATACAAGTTTTGTGTTATACAATATATATATATATATATATTTGTTTCAGTGAGCAACTTATGGTTTTGATGCATGCTCGTGCTCGTAGGCGGTTCTCTCATGGTTTAAAGAGGAAGTCTATGGCTTTGGTAAAGAAGCTGCGTAAAGCAAAGAAAGAAACACCACCAAATGAAAAGCCAGAAATTGTTAAGACTCACTTACGTAACATGATTATAGTACCAGAAATGGTGGGTTCGATTGTTGGTGTTTACAATGGCAAAACATTTAATCAAGTTGAAATTAAGCCAGAAATGATAGGTCACTACTTGGGAGAATTCTCTGTTACTTACAAACCTGTAAAGCATGGTAGACCAGGTATTGGTGCTACCCATTCTTCAAGATTTATTCCACTGAAATAATTTATATTTTTCATGTGAATAAAATGTATAAAAATTAGTACAATTATTTTTTTGAAATACCTTATAAATACCCAAATAATGTAGTATAAGTTACTGAATTACTTTAAAATTATTGAATATAAAATATATCGTAAATATATATGTAATATGAAATAATATTTTTTATATATACATAGAATTAAAACTGAATTTTGTTTAAGTAAAAAAACATTAAAAAATGTATACTTAGCAAATTTTTAAGTTTTACTTTTTATCCAAGTATAAAGTAAATCTTGGATATTATATAGGGATTAAAATAAATTACAATGCGTAATATCGAAATTTAATGACGTTTGCCTTAAAATTATCTGTCATATAAAATGTGTTGATGTTATTATCCACGTATGATTCACGTGGGTGCTTGCCGGCTGTTTTAATGCAAAGTGAAATCCACTGTTATTTCAAATATGGCAAAACAATTGACTGACCAAATATTGGATTATTTAGATAAGCACGGAGAAATAAATTCGCTGCATTTGGCTGAAGTTTTTAAAGAAAATCATCAAAAAATTATTGGTGCCATCAAAAGTCTTGAGGCACTTGGTGAAGTAAGTTAATTACCGCAAATTGTTCGTAATTATTATAATAACTTGAACAAAGTTTACCAAAAATTATTTTCCACGCTTTTTATAGTGTAAAGATGAATACGTGCAATAAATTTTCCAATATAAATTTAGATTTCATCATAACCCCAAAATGTTAATTTATGTTTATTAAATTCTTTTTTATCAAATTGATATTAATTGCTTATTAATAATAGCGTAATTTACATTTTAGTTGATTACTACTAAACAGATTATTGATAAAAAGTGGGAATTAACATCAGAAGGTCAACATGTAGTGATTTATGGAAGTCATGAAGCAGCTGTTTATAATGCAATTCCTGATGATGGAATGCCTCAACCTGAAGTTATGCAGTCAGTTCCCTTTGCAAAGGTTGGATTTTCCAAAGCGTTACAGGCTGGTTGGATAGTAATTGATAAAAGTAGTGGTAAGCCTATTGTGAAAAAGAAAGTAGCATATATCACAGATGTTACGCAAAATGATCTAAAATCCCTTGCAAGTTTAACTGACCGTCTTAAAAATGAATATAAGAAGAGAAAATTGATCCAAGAAATGTAAGGTTTTTATTAATTTAATTTAATAAAAAAGATATACATATAAGTATTGATTGTATTATATGAGCAACTATTTTGTTAACAGAGTTATTAAATTTGTACAATTAGAAAAGGGTCCAAATTTTACAACAACAATTGAAAAACAGGAAACAGAGTTGACTGCTGATTTATTAGTAAATGGTGCATGGAAAGATAAGAAATTTAAACCATATAATTTTGAAGCTCTTGGTGCTACGCTGGAAGTGGGTCATTTGCATCCACTATTAAAAGTTAGAAGCGAATTTAGAAAAATTTTTCTTGAAATGGGGTATACAGTAGAGAAATTAAGATTTTAAATTTTGTAGTATAATATTCAACAGATATTTTTATATTTCTCTTATTGTTTCCATAGATTCACTGAAATGCCAACAAATAATTTTGTTGAAAGCTCTTTCTGGAATTTTGATGCATTATTTCAACCTCAGCAGCATCCAGCAAGGGATGCACATGATACCTTTTTCATATCTGGTAAATAATTCTTTTGAATTAATTAACTTATGTATGTTCAACTGATTATAATACATTAAAATTTTTTACTTCAGATCCATCTCATAGTACAAATTTCCCTATGGATTACATGGAGAAGGTAAAGAAAGTACATAGTGAAGGAGACTACGGGTCTTTAGGCTATCGTTATGATTGGAAAATTGAAGAAGCACAAAAGAATGTTCTTCGTACTCACACGACTGCTGTTAGTGCACGGATGCTTTATAAGCTTATGCAGCAGGTAATTAAATTAAAAATAAAAAAAAGTTTTTAATTTAAAAAATATTCATATGTGAATTTTTCAGGGCGAGTTTAAGCCAGTGAAGTATTTTAGCATTGATCGAGTATTTCGCAATGAAACTTTGGATGCCACACATCTAGCTGAGTTTCATCAAATTGAAGGTGTAGTCGCTGATTACAATCTCACATTAGGTGATTTAATAGGAATTTTGTATGAATTTTTTAAGAAACTTGATATTACACAACTTAAATTCAAACCCGCGTACAATCCATACACTGAACCAAGTATGGAAATCTTTTGTTATCATGAGGGCTTAAAAAAATGGATAGAAATTGGTAATAGTGGAATGTTTCGACCTGAAATGTTATTACCAATGGAATTACCTGATGATGTAAATGTCATTGCTTGGGGATTGTCCTTAGAAAGGTAATAAAATCATGAATAGTATTTGTATTATTAAAATATTATAAAATTTGTTTTTAAATATAAATACATTTGCTTTTTTAGGCCAACTATGATTAAGTATGGATTAAACAATATACGAGATTTAGTTGGACCAAAAGTGGATTTGGAAATGGTTTATAACAATCCTATTTGTCGCTTAAACAAGTAAATATCTTTCTAATCATTATTAAGGTATTTATGTAAGTAATTACATTATTGGAATTAAAATGCATTTGATTTTATAATAGAACTTAATTTCTGTTACAAATCATCTCCTCCATTAAAACTACTAAATATGGGGATGTAATTTATCCAAATTTTTTGTACTTATATATTGTTTTAATTCAATGTACAAAATTTTATTTATTAAATAAGCGAATAAATAAGATAAATACAATAACCTTCTGACAGGACTAGTCAAAATTCTTCTCAAACAAAGAAGCCTGAAGACAAGAAACAAGAATTAAACAAACACGAAAATAAATCGTGTGCAGTTAAATGTGCAGAAAAATTCGAGAAGCAAAGGCTCGTTATATTTTGTGATCCAGAACATCCGATCAAGTTTATAGAATTGTTCTTCCGTCACGTAAAATCTTATGTCAACATTTTTGTGACCTCTCATGTACATTCCAGTGTACAACATTTTCCAAATCAGTTATTAACTTTTTGTTCAGAGTATCGAAATGCAAAGCAAACTACTGACATACACTTAACAATAATCTGGAAAGAAATTGGTATTGATCCCATATTGCAGTTACCAGGGATGCACGAAATTATAGGCGAGATAAATGTAGCGCGATATCTAAATCGCGTAATCGAAAACTGTTATCCACATGTTTTACGTTATGAAAGCAAAGGTGTATTGTACGCAAATGAAATAGATAATTACTTAGAAAAAATACATAAGTTTTTACATACTAATGTGCATCAAACTATTCATAAAAAATCACGTTACATAATGGGTGAAGATAATATATCTATTGTAGATATTTTATTAGAATCCCCTGAAAAATGTAAACTACACAAATAGAAATAATATATAAATAAAATTTTGCAAGAATACTGTTACATATTTACATATTGTTGGATCTTTAATATGTGGTATACTTTCTATAAAATTAAATTAATACATATGTTATACATATATGTATTTGGTTATATATTTATTTATACTTTTCAATGGACTGTTACTTAAATGATGCGATAAAAAATATTTGTCTTGATTTAAATATTTGCAGTAATCATGAGAATGATATTCAAGTAGTTGTTTCTGCCATCGTGTAAGTGGCTACGAGATGGGAATGGAAAGAAAAAGCTGCATAGAGGCGTCTTCTGTGTTCGTCTAATCAGACATGCATATTGACGCCATTCATTAATCGGTGTATATGTAGATATTTACTATACGAATGTTATGCGTTATTACATAAGGACTCAAGAAGTCTCTATGCAGTGTTCTTTTTCTATTCTTATATAGCTTCTTCAGCTCGCTCATGCACTCTATCTTTATATCTCTATGTTCATAATCGGTCTAACCCTAGTTGCAGTAACAGTAATAGATGGCGGTGTCAATGTGTGATTATAGTAATAAGTGCACATATGACTAGTGTTGTTATTTAACAAATTCTTGCGCGCGGGTTCCAAGTTAGATGGATGGCTTTACAAGAGGAACATTATAGACGTTCAAAAAATTCAACAAGTTATTACAAATTTTTTATTATTCTAATTTTATTTTCGCACAAATCCTGCATTGTGGAGAACATTATATACTTTCTCTCGTGGAATTTTATCCGTTTCACGATCGATTACCTACAATAAAAGTAGGAGATGCTATTATAAGCAGTAATATGTATAATAATACTACTATATGTAGAGTGTCTCACACTTTTCCATTCAAATTTCCTTAATATGTTCTATAAGTAAAATTAAGACTAGAATTTAACAAAAAATTTATAAATTCTTTATTAAGAAATTATAGCCAAAGTATCGAAAGTGGCATAGATAATTTGAGTATGTTTCTATTTCAAAATGTCGTCCACCTTGTTATTGATGTAGTATTTACTGCCTGTGATTGTCTAATTATATCATATACCATATTAATTCTGATTATTAATTTCTTTTATATAGATACTATATACTATTACTTTTACTTCTATATTCTAAACTTTTTCTTTTAGCGTACCATATAAATAAAAATTTAAATACGTAAGGTTAGGTGATCTAAGGAGCCAAGATGACGACTGGTCGCGGTCAACAAATTCAACGTTGGCAATAATGTTTGTTAGATATTATTACATTTTTCATGTTTCAATTTTTGTTATAATTTCTTAATGATGGAATATATATGATGTTTTAAATTTATTTTTATTTATAAAGCAAACAAAAATGTGGGTCACTCTGTATAATATACTACATATTGATATTCTATGACAATACTAATAGGATATTTGGAAAATATTGAAATTAAAGTATGCATTTAAAAGATAGAAAAATACTGACAATTGTAGAATTGACATTAACACAAATTATTATATTTTTCTGATAAGGAAATTAAGTAAAAAAAAGTTGTTTTTTAATCGTACTACAATGTATCAGATACATCCTGCTACGAATTTATAAGGAAATATGATATGTCAGTGACAGATGGAGATAAAATCGGTATCAGAGAGAGAGAGAGAGAGAGAGAGAGAGAGAGTAGCGAAGGCCGTATTCTCAGATTTCAGAAGTAAATCTAGCAGCCTCGTTTCAAAATTGATCAATGCTACATTTAAAATCATAAAACACATTTTCATAACATTATAGAAGAAATATATTAAGATAAATGGGAAAATTTTTACCTGCATCTCTTTATTGAAAAACCATGATTCCATCGCGAGACGGGCAGCGATTCGTGGGTTTTTGTAAAAGTTATTTCGTAATTCGTTTGGCAAGGTGTCTTCGATTGCTGAATTCAATACATTTGCCGGATGTTGATACACGAATTCTGAGGGAATGTAGTATTGTGGAGCGGCCACGCATAATCCTATCATGGCCATAAGCAAGATTATTACGTTCATATTTACCTAAAATTCTGGAAAAGAATAAACTCCAACTAATTTAAGGTAGTACATAACTTATTTGGTTCAGAAAATCGGAAAGATTTTCTCATAATTTTTTAAATTTCATATGTATAAAATATTGTAGCGAAACGAGCTTTTGAAATTCATACTGAGTGGTTGAAGGTATTCATATTGTTCATATTAACTTGCGAAGAATTTGTTAAAAGATACCTTTAAAATTTGAGTGTTTTTTTTAAACTATGTTTTTTGACTTGATATTAAGCAGATTTTAAAAATTGATTGCTCGATAAATTTCAAATTTCGGCACATTGTTTCTTATAAAATTATTCTACAATGTAGTCTGTGGTTTCTTTTCATATTTTAATTTATTTAATTTTTTATAAATTTTGAAGGTAGTACTTTTAATAATTTTTTAAATAATTGTTTTAATTATTTTTTCTTAAATCTATGTTTTTTAACTATAAGCTAACTATTATAATATTAACTATAATATTAACATATTGCATAAAATTATCTTTTTACCGAACAAAAAAATTACACAAAGATTTATAAAATCATAAGAAGTTTGTATCTTTTACAGAGTAATAAAAAGTTTGAACGGAATTCATGTTGGCTGAGACACCATTCTAATTCAAAGCTTATGTATGTATCTATCCTGTATGTAGGCTAGTGCAATATTCAAAATTCCATTAAAAAGACACATTTTTTCACGTTTGCACACAAGGAATCATATAGTAGTGATTCGTGAACTATCAAAGGAGGTATGTTATCTATTAATATTATTATTAATATTATCTTCTCTGTTGAGTGCAAATAAGATACAGATATTTGACACATTTGTTTATTTTCCATACAGCAATGAACACATAAGTAAGAGAAAGTTCTTACAATAAAAATTTGGCTTATTTTAGTTTATAATTATTACTTGAAATAAAAATGTGAAAGCCACTCTATATCCACAATGCTTCAAAATACAAGAAATTTGTTCGTTATGATACACTTAAATCCTACGTAATGTAGAACTAATATATAATTCAATTTGGGATTTAAAATGTTGAAAAGATTTAAAAAGTTTTATTTCTATTTTTTCTATAATGTAGGACATAAAGTAGCATTTTAGAAAAAAGTAGAAATAACATTTTTCATAATGCAATTTATGGTCTTGGCAGTTATCATTTCCCATTTATACACTCGCCACTATACACCAAAAACTCATCGTCAGTCCAAGAAATCAATTTCAAAAACTGGTGAAGGTAGCAATAGCCAATTGCTGCGACACTATTATAAATACTAAACACGAAAACTGTAACAGAGTTATTCTCGTAAATTTTGAGCTGTGCACACAATTTTTATTATGCACGAAGGATGTGTCGAACCACTGATTCGTGTGCCAGAAATTACGTTGAATATTTTTATCCTCCATAACGTCTATTTGTATCCTTTATGTATATATTTCAGTCAGATCTCGTGCTCCACGACTTTCTGCGCAAATCCACTCACCTTACGAATACAATACTGAATCCACAAGATCTAGTTATTTCTCTCGCGCGTGTCTAACTGAATACAAGATCCGTTACAGTGTTACTTATATAGTAGCCGCCACTTCAATACAGCTTGCTATGGTTACCGTGGACGTTTTCTTGGTCATTATCCGTGTTCTGGCTCGTTCTGTCGAGCTTATGTCCCCGACGAGGTCATTCGTTTCCTCTTTGAGGCGTTTCAAGGGTGAGGATCCCTTCGAGCTGACTGATCACCACTCGCCGCCGTTTATCCGCGACCTTCCTCATTCTCGTGCGCTTTATTCGCTTTGCTTCGCTCCTTAGTGACGGAGACCACGATATTAGACACTGGATACGCGATAGACTCTATCCGGTAGATTTTTCTCGTTAGCGTGTTTCGGGTCACGCGACATTCGATAGATCCAATTGCTAGCTAAGTAAGGCAAAGGAAAATATTATCACAGTGGCTACAAAAGGTATTCGTACATTATTGTATTTATTGTAGTTGGACTGCGCATGTTCATCTAAATTTGTATTTTTTTAAATATAATCAAAGATACAGAATTTTGGTACAAAATTGTTTTACTTGTTATATGTTACAGGGAGTATTACTCCCTGGGGATATTTTATATATCTCTGCTCATCATGCGACATCTCGTGATCCAGGTAAGTTAAGTAACTTATTTAATCCACGTAGTTCCAAAGTTACTTATTCTTTTATAAAAAAAATTCTTGTTACAGTCGCTGTTGATTAGAAAGTAGTTAAGAATTCATCGACATCGACTTTGTAATTTGTACTATGGATCGTTACAAGTCAGTAAAACACAAAAGTCCAGTGAATTACTTTGGATGGCTATTCTGCAACTGTCCTTTCGGTTTTCACTTTGTTTGGGAGAATAATTCAATAGGCATGGCCGATTCATCGATCTACGCACAGTGAATTTGTTAAACGTCCCATTATAAAAACGATCCTCTGGTTCAAATCGATGTGTACCGTGAGATTTGGTGGGTGTAATGCTCCTACGTGCCTAGAAATATCGATTTCACGTTGTGATCGGAATTTCCACGCGTTTTATGATTACTTAACTATGGTCATTATTGCACCATTTAAGGAACCATATTATACTGCATTTAGCTAGTAGTAGATTATCAGATAATTAAGTATGGTATACTGGTATAATCAAAAATAGATATGTAAATACAGAATTTGGAAATTAAATGGAAGCTTTTTATCTTTTTTTACAGAAATTAAAAATATAATTTTAATAAAAATCGAAACTGATTTGGAGAAATCTTGAAGATCTCAATTAGAATTTCTAAAGAAGTTTATATTGAATATCAAACTGTTCTATATTTGTTAATAGAACGTTTATAATTCAACGAGGGTTCACTAAACTGTTACTGTGCCGGTTTGCTGCAGTTTCAACCGCCCACGTAGGTTCTTATGGATTTTTTCGAGCAGCGCAGTTTTCCGGTTTATGCATTACGCATATATATAGTCACTGTCTCTGTTCGACAACAGTTGAGTCCGGGTTAAAACTCGTGTGCTACGTTATTACGAGCCTGTGCACCATTCGCAATTCCAAGCTTCTTTGCTTTCCTCCTGCAATGACCATGTAACTACGCTTTCTTTAGTCACGTTCGACTTTCATGCAAATAAGTTCTTCCTGAATCATTTGATTCCTTGGATACTAAATTTTCTTAATTTTTAATACAATAAAGTTCCTAATATTAATTGGATATATCTCTGCAAATTTTTTAAATACCTATCGGTATATTTTTTGTAATTTTATTGAACGGAAACTACATACAGTATTTATAACAGGAGCAAAAGAATGGATGCGCGTGTGAGACATTATGATTGCATACAAATACACTAAAATAAATTATGCTTAAAGAAATAATAATGTACAAGTATACAATAATAATGAAGTACAATAATAATGAACAAGTAGCTCTTTAACCAGGTCGAAAACTGCAGAAATACCATATGTGTATACATTCTCGAGGAATAAATATTACGCTTGTATTAGTAGTAGCTTTAAGTAGAGACATCCTGGTGCATCTATCGAATAATGATTTCATCTTTTTATTTAAGATATTTGAAAGAGACAAGGGAACGGATATATGTATAATGGTATTTAGGTCAATGTTACGTCCTTATAAGCAATAACCAGAGGCAGTGGTTACCCTTGTCGGAACAGACTCACCGACTATAGGAAGTCGTCGTTTTTCAGCTTATTCTGAATAATGCATACACGTAAGTCATTGGCAGATGAAAGGCGTAAAATAAAAGTTCTACCAGCGAAAGGAAGTTATGTAAGTATACGAGAGACCTTCCTCTTCAGCATATTACAATTAATTACATACATATTATCTTTCACGAGATCACATAAGAAGTGCATGAATTGGGCCATAAAAACATTTTATGACGTTCGATGAGATGCATTGAACGCATGTACATGTAATTCCTTGACCTTGCATCGTGTTTTACTTATACATTTACCATTTACTTAATTAGTTAATTTAAATTTTTACATTAATTTTTTACATTAAGTTTCTTTAATTTTCTTTGAAGTAATTGCTAATTGTATCTTGTGTTGGAATATTCGAAAGTTAGGTGTTAGTTATCTTATATGAGAATATGAAAAGTTGTAAGTTTCTAAATTTAATTATATCTAATAATTTTTATCTTCTTTAAGTTTTGAAAAAGATCTATAAAATTTCTTCTGTAAATTTATGTAACTAACATATAAGTTTCAAATATCGTTGTGAAGATTGCTACTAATTAAAAGCTTCATTTGCCAAATTTATTTCCTAAAAAGTAATTCCTATTATTCGAATATCTTTTCACTGAAATTTCAACATATTGATTTTGAAACCCTATGTTTACAGGCAAACAAAAGAAGATTTACTCTCGAAACTTTCATGTGCTATAAGTAACAGGTTTCGTGACAAATAAAACAATCGCATATCACTTCCGTCTTTTATATAAACATCTTTTAAAACACGTATAAAACAGAAATACAAGGTACACAAGTTTCCATCTGTTCACAGGATACAACTTACATAATTTCACAAGCGATAGAAAAAATTATTTCATTTTAAAAATCCAATACAACTTCACTTGCAGTTATCTACTTAAGATAAAACACAAGTCTGATTTTGATTTAAAAAATCAATATGATTCTACATACAATTTTAGTTATTACCACCCACATATAATTATTTGATTATATTACAAATAATAGCAATTTAATGTAAATTGAATACCAGTTAAAATCAAGTTCAACTCTTTCAATATAATTGCCTAATCATTTGCATGCAAAAATCCAATATATTATGTAGTATTAAAATATTCAATATCACTCGTACACTATTTTTAACATTGAATCCTGTTTTAGAACGTTAGGGAACTAAGATCACAAGTCATCAAACGATTCAGTGGTAATATTCATAAGCTGGCGAGATGGTCTTCTGATAAACTGGAACAGCAGCATGGGCAATCGTTGGTGCAAAAGCTTTTCCGACCACCGGTACAGAGCTGTGAACCTGAACATGATCGAGGCGCGCTGTTTTTATGTAGGTTGGTTGTTGGACGGACACTCTCTCGATTTTAGTCGCTGGTTCCACGACATTCACTTCTTGGAGAGTTTCAATCGGTCTGCTGACAACAACACGTCGCGTAGAGACGCGTTCGTCAGCAGGTTCTGCGTATTCTGGAGCTGGGGTAGCAGAGATTACACGTCCGCGAACCTGGCCAGCGTCTCCGGCTGCGGATTGGGAGAGGGAGGGATAGCGACCAAAGCCGACCTATAAAAATATAATGCATATTTAGAAATAGAAATATAGAAACATAGAAAGCAACTATATTAGTTGATTCATCGCATATATTGGATGATTCATCCTTCAATCGCCAGGAATTCTAGTATTAATAGTTCTTATGAAATTACCTCAGCAACGTTACCACGGGCAGTGAGCAAGTCAATCAGTCTATTCTGGTTCTCTTTGTCCTCTTCAGGGGAAGATTTGGGGCTAACCACAACGCTTGGTGAAGGATCATGTGCAACGAATGGTTCGTTCGATTGTGCACCACCGTTCAAGTTAGTTCTTGCTTGAGCTGCAGGTGCACCGGCCTAGAACAAAAGTAATCGTTAACTCTTAAAGAATAAGAAAAGAATAGTAATTGCAAGGCTTGCGAAAATAAGGAGGCAGCTTCGGTTTCATATTCAAAACTGCAAAAATTGATCACTACGAATATTAGTTGATTATGAATTTGTAGCACATTCCAGAAAGTGATTTAATCTCAATTCGGCTTTCGTTGGTTTACTCAAATTACTGAAAATCAGAGTTTCTAGTTCAATTTCTAATCATACCTGGCTTTGAGGTCCGAGTCTGCGGAAGTCAGGATTTTCAACCACAACAGTTTCGTCATCGCTGGAGGAGGATGGAGTAGAAGATTCTACAGGAGATGACAAAGATGGTAGAGATGGCAGCGATGGCAGAGATGGGAGAGATGGCAGAGATGGGAGAGATGGGAGAGATGGGAGAGATGGGAGAGAAGGAAGAGATGGAGATGCTTCGAGACCTGAGAAGTGTTGGAACAGAGGTTGAACGACAGCTGGTCCTTTCTGAGTCTTGGAGGTCGGTTGATCAAGCTCGACTACTGCTGAACCAGCTGGACGAACAACTACGCGTTCTTCAATGTCGAAGAATTGCTTCTGGATTGCTGGGCGGCGTACCTGATTCATAAACATTATTTAACGTTTAAAATAAAATTTTACTCTTTTATTGGCTTCTTTCCCTTTGAAAAATTGTGAAAGCAAATATAGAAATGGGTACCCACAAAAGAGTTAATATAGAATATAAAATTTATAAATAATATATTATAATTTATAACGATAATTTCATTACTTTTAAAATGAAAAGAAAAATGAAGGATCTAAAGATAATTTTTACAAGTGAAATAAAGTATTAAAAGAATTTAAATATGAGGTGAGAAGAAAAAAATAGAAAACAACGAACAGGTAGAGTGTTTAACAGAAAAGGGGGCAATTTGTCAAATTAACAATCACTTACTTCGAATTTTCGAGTAGAAACAGCCGGTTTAACGACGTCTAATTGTTTTTCCAGGAGAGCAGGTTGTGCCTCAATTTTCGTGACTGGCACATGAGAGACAGTTGGCACGTGTTTGACGTATGGTACAGCAGCCACTGCTGGCACTTGGGCAGCGGCATATCCAATGTGTTCTGCTTCAACTTTAGCGGGAACACTATATGCAAGCTGTGCCTCTTGTCCGATATTATTTATGTAAGTTACTCCTGCTGGATTTAAGTAAGGCATCCTAATGGATACAAAACTACTATAGCCACCCTGCAACAGGGCGGCTGCCACTGTGAAGAGAACTCCGAACTTCATCCTGGAATGACATAGTAAATTAACTATGAAATATCTTTTATTAGTGGACAGTTGCTAGAAAATTAACAATTGTACAGAGTGTATTAAACGTTTTTCTATAATTAGTTATCTTAAAAAGATTGAAAAGTGAAAGTGACAATTTTTAAAGAAAATTCCAAGCTTCATTCTGAATTGATATTGTAAGTAAAGTTTGAACATTTTTTAATATTCTATTTTTAAGCATATTTTATTATTAGAAAGTTTAGCAGTTTAGTAATCGCCAATAAAAAATATTGGAATATTAAAAAATTTCAAATCTGAACCATAGATATAGTCTCTCCAAAAATTTTCAAAGTTTTTAAAATAGGAATATAATTATTTAAGTTATTTATAAGAAAATTAATTATAGAAAAGGGAATATGGTGATGAAGGTAGTAGCATCGATTAGTAATTGAAATAATCATCTAAAAGCACCAGAAGTGTGAAATTAAGAAGTGTTCAGGCCAATTCAGAGAGACAAAGTTACCTTGATCGCCCAAAAATGAAACGACGTGCGAATGAGCGAAGGGGTGTAAGGTGCAAGACTGTCCCATCTGTGGCAGCAGACGTTGCTTATATGGACGTGGTCGTAAAGGGGACCCCTTCTCACAAAACCATCATTGCCTTACCCCTCCCATACGAACAAAGGCTCAAAGTTGACCAAAACTGGGTCGATCTACTTTACTCCTCCACGTGTTCAATCTTCGAGAAACCTGCTCCCTCATAGGAACTGACAGTTATGCATCACCCTGTCCCTATGACACGATCATTAATTTCACCATTTCGCAATATCACACTGGTCATTAAGAGCACTTAATTATTCTGAAAATCCGTTGCTCTTGATTGACTTCTTGTAGTTAATTGTTGAGAAAGATTAATTCTTGGCTAAGGATTTATAAAAATAGTTTAATCTATACAACATGGTAATCTTCTAGATGATAGAAGTATATAGCATAAATCAATCTGGTAAGTTTATAACTACACAAAATTTGGTTTCGTGGTAATTTGAGTTTTTTATAATTAATGAAGAATATTAAGATACTCATTTAAATAATAATTTATCTGAATATTAGTAGAGTATGAATTGAATAATGTCCATGAACGTGAAAAGTTCTCTTTCTTTAACCACTTTTATTTATTCATTTCTTTTTTCTATAGGATATTAGCCACTTTGATCACAAGAATTTTTACTTATAGGTTTGAGAAATGAATTTATCGCATAAAATATAATTGAAAAAGAAATTTGTCATCAACGTGCTCGTTTAAAAGCAGTAATCGAAGATTAATGAATGAAGTGGAGCAATTTTGAATGCCAAAGAATTATAGGTATTCGAAAGTGAAAACAGAGAATTCAACTAGGTCGATGCGCCTTTACAATTCGATTGTTATTCGTCCCATGTGCGTGTGGGCCCGTGTAAAATTCATCACTCACGAAATGTTGACGCGAGCTTCTTCTAAAAAAAGTGAAAAGAACGTTTCCTGAACCGATCACATGAAATTTTATTATTCCACGTTCATTTAATAAGACGATAAATATTGAATAGTTACTATTTCCGATAATAGAATATTTTGAAGATTAAGACACAAATCTAAGATTTTAATTTACTGAGTTTTGTTAGCTTAGGATTACTTTAGATTGAAATTAAAATCATTATAATCAAGGATAATGCATGGAAAATTCATATTGTTCTTGTAAATTATTTTATTTCATTCAAAAGATTTTTGAAAAAATTGATGTGTAAGCAATATGCGTACAGATATAGATTTTATCAAAGTATGGCCTTAATCTTAATCCTAAATTAATCCTACATTAATAAACTATAGTAAGCTATAATCTTAGACAAAAGTTATAAAGATCTTAAAAAAAAAGTTTTGCGTTGAAAATTAAAGGCTTCTATTATGACTTTACCATGATCAGTTTTTTCTGCAAAGGTATCAAGGTAATCTTCTCTTATTTTTTTTCTCAACAACATACTTATTTTTTATTGACAATTTAGAGCAACTTACGTCACGCTTATATATATTTACTTTCGTATAGGACAGCTCTGGAAATGAAAGACAAAACGATTTAAAAGCAGATTGGAATCTAGAAAGGTCGTGGACATGTTAATTCATTCCTCATTCTCACTGGATTTTATCTTTAATTTCGTTTCCTATACCATTATTGTAACCTTAAATCTCTTATTCCATTTCATACCACTACAAGCATTCTTTTTGCAGTACTAAGATTGGTAAAATGTCGTGAGCAAAATTGTACGAGTACAAATTCAGTTGTTTATTAACAACATCTTGCAATGCTGATTCGAATGATGCAACAATATTGAAAATTATAATCATATCGGCGATCATCGTTTAATAAATAATGTAGTTCGATTTCGAATTACCAAACTCATTGCAAGCTCTATAATTGCTCAAAAGAAATCACGTTGCTGTTGCGAATTGAACATATGACGACTGATTAATTATTGTTCTGTAACCACATGGTAACTCATGTTAACTTCATTTCAGACTTTACATGGATAGAAGTTGTGAGGGATAATTGTATATCATAAATATTAATCGCGAGTCATTTAACTCGTGATTTTCGATTTCAAAATTTAAATATTTACACAATCGATAAATTGTGCTATTATCTTCTCTTAACAGAGGAGATCCTGGTCCTTAAGTCCGGTCGTCAAGTGATCATTTCAGCCTTGCTCAATATCTATGTATGTATATGTACCAAGGTCGGGCGTTGATCAAAGGAATAACGATCGATATTTTCATGCTCTCGATCCAGATGAAAATGTTGCGCAACTTTATGTATACCCTAAACCGGTAATTCGTTCGTACCCTATCTCGCTTTTACTCGTTTATTACATATACTTTAATATGCGCGATAAATCTCTTTATACCCAGTAATTACCTAAAAAAATACTCTTCTTACAGATAGAGATGATGTTTTCAGCGAAAGAAGTACTGTGTGAGTCCTTACGTACGATATGCATCGGAAGATGAAGAAATAATACAAAGTGCTGGAGTCAGGTTACTGATACACATTCGTGCTTAATAAAAAAGTCTATAAAACCTGATACTTCTGATTCTTCTGCACTGATTCTGATTCTTCTTAACTTTGATCTAATTACAATTTAATCTAGATTTATTTTTCATTTAATTCTAATTCTAATTCATTCATTTACATTATTTTGTAACAATTCAATTGTAGTTCTAACTTCTAATTTTAGTTTTAATATAGAATTATTATGATCTTGATAATTATTCTGATCGCAACTTAAAGAACTATGATAAATTTAAAATTACTTACGTAATTTATTTATAAAAATTGACGACAGACATAAATTTGGTTTTAAGGTGACAGGAAAAATGAAGACCGAAGCAATAATAATAAATCATTTGTACTTGTAAACAAATTGCTGTTGCTTTAGATGAAGTAGTTGACACGATAAATACTTAAAAGGAAACAGAAAGAAGGAATTATGGAGAGATACGAAGTTAAAACGGAACCGAATCCATTTATCTCACGTCATTTATGACGTTTTACAAGAGAGCAACTGCAAGTCAATGTCAACATCCCATTACATTACTTGAGCATATTTCTTTAGTCACTTACTCTTTAAAAAATGTGTACATAAAATGGGTCATGAAAAATAAAATATTTTATCTTATATTAAGGTTGAGTTTAAGCATACTGTTTTTCATTGCACTATCAGATGGCATACATATATGTATACTTACGGTAAAATTACTATTTATTCAGTAATTAAATCTTTTAATGATACTATGGATGAATTTGTACCTACTTTATAATTACAATTATTTTTTAAGTTATAACATTCTTGCGGGTGAATTTTCTTCACGGTATTACTTAAAAATTAACAAAGAAATTTTTACATTAAATATTTCACATCATTGTAGGGTTAATGAAATATGCATCTAGAAAAAAAAACCAATCTGGTAAGTATGCAATAAACATAAATCAAAGGTTCTGCGAACAACTTAAACATCGCTTCAAATGTTATGACTATGTTGAAACAAAAGTCTTCTGTCATACTGGAAACTGGACACTCAGTTATCGTTTCTTCTATACGGATCTCCTCCCTCTTCCTCGCTCTTTGTCTCTTTCTTTTTGCCCCACTAAACCTTTTCTCATCAGTGAAACCGAAACCGAAAGTAAAATGCATACCGGGCATCGCGTACCGAAAACTGGTTGTCCTTCTTTCGCAATGTCGGTGTGGCTTATAATCCTCAAAAACGTAAAAACAGAAAATCTTTTCCTTATCTTATTGCAAATGATTCGGACCTTTTTCCCCAATCGTTCTTACAACCTATTTATGTATCATGTAGCTGTAAAGAAACTCGGACGTATTCAAAATATAAATCCCTGTTTTATTAAGGCAGCTAATGTTTTTGAAATTTAATGGCCCACTCCTCCCTTGTCATCATGTCTGATATATTTGCAGGTCAAAGGTGAGATAAGATTGTATTACTCTTTAGGTGGAGATTTCATAACAATATTGCAGTCATCCTTTTTACTTCTTTTTCCATTGGTTCGATTACAAAATTTTCGCTTAAGTCCTGAAGCAATGTTGATGAAAAAAATAGAAAAAAGAATATGAAGTTAATTACTTTTCTGCCATAGTTGGAAATTTAATATCAGAATCGATTTATTAAAAGTAAGAGTTTTAAGTACCTACGTACTCTTCTATTTTTGAAGTTTTTGCAATATTTCAAATATTGATGATATCTTCCCTTCGCCTTTAGTTTAATTTCTTTAAGATGGAAGGAAACCTGAAAATATATGGATATTTTAGTTTTTATGAGTTTCACGTTATTGAAACAACTACATGGATTTCTTACGTTTCACATCTATCGATGAATCATAGAAATTTCACCATTGATTTTGTTTAGAAAATATGCCGGTAACTAAACGACAATTCTTGTTCGAAATGAAAGGGAATGTAAAAATCTATAGATATTTCTTTGGTATATACAAACACAACCTGGTGATTATTTTATCGGTGGGATATGTGGGACTCGTCTGAGGTGGTGCGCAATACATCCATTAAAAGCGTCTCCTCATATCTGCCATGAAGCAGAAAAATATAGCCACTTACCCGACACGACCGAACGTGCGAACGTGACCGGCGAATTTTGATTTTTGTTGCGAATCCTCATTCAAATTCCGCACTGTGCAACGATTTGCAATACTTCGGGAGGAGGGATTCCGATTTGACACCGATTTCTTTCCAATATTTCAGAAATCTTTGTAACTGCGTAATTTTTATCTTTTGAATCACTAATTAACCCTTTGCCGTACGATTTCATTTAAACTGCGTCATAATGAGGGACAAAACCGTTGTTTGGAATAAATAAACTTCAAGCTTTAAGCTCGATCTCCCTTCATCGAGCGTGCAGAAATCAACGGTATTGAAATAAAAACCTTTCATACATTAAATGTGATTTCTTTTTTATTAATATATTGTTTTAATATATGTTTAACATAAATTTTTAATATATTAAAACATATAGATACATCTTAATTCCTCTAGCGATCTGTAAGAATTGTTTTGCCTATTGTCAAAGGTAACACTATCGATAGTATCGATAGTTTCACTATTTAAGTACATATTATCTCTAGTATTACTATTTTTTATTCTAAATGTTATGCAAAGGATTTTCAAATAAATTTCACTCTATAAATAAAAAAAAAAAAATACGAAATCACGAACAATATTAGAAAATTTTTCGTAGATTAAAAATAGGATGTAAGTAACCGTGAATTCCTCTTGATCGAACATTTTCAGTATTCAGAAAGCGTAAAGACGATAGACCGTATTTCGTTATCGGTGGGATTTTCAATTTATATCGCCATTTGAACGCATGAAACTACACCAATATTAGTTACTTAAATACTAACTTTGGTACGACTGATGTCAATATATGAATGGAGCTAGAAAACTTTTTATAAGCATATTCCATTGTTTTACATGGTTTCTATATGTAAACAGGTATTATTAAGTCCGACTTGAATTTATGCTCTGGATCATAACGTAATCCGTACTATCACCGAATCTATATCAATGGTCTGAGCACGAATGTGTGATCCACTAAATTCTGCGTCACGAGTTTCACTCGTCATTTTACTATAAGGAATTAACATAAGAGTACACATCATAAGTACTTCCTTTGAATCATATCCTTATATATATAACAGAAGAATAATTTTGTAAATAACTCTATAACAACTAATTAAAGAATTTCACAGTAATTCGATTTAAATTATTTTATATGAAGTTTCTCGTAGATGTCGTTGTTTGCGATATCTAAGTTTAAATCTCTGTATGCATATCTGTATACATGGCATAAACGCAATTTTCATTCGGAAAGGGCGGTAAATATCAATGCACGTGTGTTCATTAAAAACATTGCAAAACGAAGTATTTATTAAGTTTTATCAACTGTATTGTATTTATGATCATATCATATAATTAACAGTAGAAGGGTCTAAGAACCGTTTTCAATGTAATAAAAGAAGACAGGTTATATAGAGGATTAGGTGACCTCTGAAGGAACCAGTCATTATTTTAAAAATGAGTGCCAATAACTACTACCGATTTATATTGGAACGTATTAATACTTCGGACATAATTGTATTAGATAAACCAGGACATACAGTAAGTATAAAATGTTCTTCTCTTCTATTATGCAAGTAGTAAGCACATGCTATAAAATAATTTTTGTTTTTTAATTTTATTGTTAAATTATGCGTAGACTGCAAATATTTATGTAGTTGTAAAGAATTGAAATACATAGAAGTATTCAAAGTATACATAATATGTAAAAATATATTAAATATTAAAGTATTTAGTAATTGAAATAAATCTTTTATTTATGTTCTACTCTTTTATATGTGTTCATAGAAATTCAATATTTATGAATAAAGAAAGTATTCTGAGTATCAAAAACCAATAATAAGGATGTTTTACATGTATAAAACATTGTTTCTTTTGTATGTTTTCAGTATACTTGTGGTAGAGCCAAAGAAAATGAAATAATATGCCTTAGTCTGACAGTATCTAGACGCCATTGTATGTTTTTCCATAGAAAAAATGAATTATATGTTACAGATTTAAAGGTACATATCATGTAATGAAATTAGTGCACTAGAATGTATTCTCTTAATATAATACTTTCATTTGATGATGTTACGTTATCTTTAGAGCGCGAATGGTATATTTATAAATGACATAGCTCAAGAGCCCTTTCAGACAACTCAATTACGCTCGAATGATGTTATTGGCATTGGATGTCCCACTGCTGCAGATGCAACTGAAAACAGTGATCTATATGCGTATAAACTACATTCAATTGGAGTAAGATTTAATTAATTATATCATCAGATTAATTATCATCACATGATATCTTTTTTGAAATATTTATTGAGTAAGATTGTTACACATATTATAATAATTTTAACAGCCACAACTTCTGGAAGATGGTCACAGTGTTAGTACACTTTCAGAAACTACTATAGTAAATAATGTAAATATAGTTAATAATAAGTCAATGACTGACAGAGCAGATAAACGTAAAAGAGAAGACACGAATCCCAACTTGGAAGTGGCAAGTAAAATCCCCAAGTTGCAAAATGAAAATTATATCTTAGAAAAAAATTATCTGCAAGGTATTACTGCATTTTTATTCAAGTTATTTACAAGACAAAGAAGAAATAGTAGAATTTTACTTTTATTTCAGAAAAGGATAAAAAGAAAAATGAAAATGATATTGAAATAGTTCATATTTCATTGAATAACAGTTCATCAAATGGAAAAAATAAAAATTGTGATAAATTAAATGCAAAGAAACATATGGATGCCAACATGTCTACATCAAGTAATTGGACAAACAATACAAGAAGAGAATCATCAATAGATGATAAATTAATAAATTGTCAGGACCTGAGATCAAATATGATAATAAGCACCACAAAAAAAGATATTAAAAAAGGGGAAATTTCTCTCAATAAGAGTACAGAGAAAGTAAATGCAAATATGTTACAAGAGATTAATA